TTGACCCAAGATTATGCAAAGGACCTTGAGGGTATATTGGGGATAAAAATCATTTTGAATAGTGAAATACCTGTACAATCCCCTGATATAAGTCAAATCGACTTGTTTGAGTTCAGATAGATGAAAAGAAAATCTTTCTGTGGGGACCGAATTTTTTAGACGGAGTTTGGAAAAAGTTGGAATGACTGTCTCAGCTTCTGGGGGCTGTGGGAGAGGCAGTTTTGAAAGTAGAGAGTTGAAATTTTGCACACCCCTATCTGAGAATAACATGCTCGTCTGTTCAAAATTTTGACCCACTACGACAAACCGTTCCGGGGTTATTCAACGACAAATTGGTCACCACCAGCGAAAGCGCCCTTTGGTATGTTAGACATATACATGGGAATACCGCTTGGTAATATTTTAATACTGGATTTCTCAGAGTGATGTATACATATATATGTACACACCTTTCGAACGGAGGACACCATGTGGGTTTGGCGAATTCGGAAGAATTGTGATGCGGAAATCCTCTGGAATGCATTTCGTCTGGGGAGGCTTGTAATTCTGCAAAGTGCAAACATTTTCACGATATAAATAAGCGACCATCTAAAAAATTAAATATGTACACTGTTAAACATCAGTAATAGTACTCTTTTGAAAAGTAAGGGCAGTCTAAATTCTATTTTTTAAAAGGGCAGCATTATTTTAAATATGTGATATGCATCTATTTCATATACATAAGTATTGGAAATGTAAATAAATACATTACCAATGACAAGCATAAATTTGAACATACCCAGCTTCTAGTCGTCAAAAGTTCGCCCGTCGTTTCGTCATGGATTATTTCCTCCGTCGTAAAGAATCCCAACCCCATGACGAAGGCACCCTTAATTTGGCCAATGTCGACGTGGGGACTCGAACTTTTCCCGACATCTTGCAAAATATCGACTCGAATGATCTACACATACATATTTGCGAACATGTAATTTTCTGCCCCTTCACAATATGTGTACAATTATGTGTACAATATCTGGACACTTAATAAAACGCCTAACTTATTACTCGATTTTCTCCAGTTAGAACATCAATTTCAACTTCTGCCGCACACACGATCCACACCGGATATTGAATCGTTTCCGTGACTGAGGGCTCACTTCCGACCTCATCGTTGGGATTTTGCCTGAATTAAAGGAATTTCGATAGATGAGATATATTTTAAATTATGTATACCTGCATATTATGTACATATATACACGTATAAGATTAATGTTACAAATTACATTTATTATTATGGATATTAAATTATTTATAGTCGAGTTTTCTTTGTTTTACACTCTACAAACTAAGAACTATTCCTTTACTGAAAAATGACTGAAACTTTTGTCAAATAAAGTATACCAACTACATAGTAAACTGTGCTGGTTATCAAATTAACATGACTCTGGATTTAGAATACTTTACGTAATTATTTAAGTATAATATTTCTCACATGTACGAAGCAGCCAGGTCGACGTGTTCAGTGTAACATTTCTTAACCAAGTCAACCCACGAAAGAGGATTTGAGGCATCTTGATAAGGGGCCATTCTGGTTTTTAGAATTTCGCAAGCCTTCAAAGCACCCTGAAAATAAGTTACAAATAAATGAAAAGTTACGTGAATACTTACATATAAACAAATATGTGATTGTATTTACATAGCAACAAAGTTCCGACGTGAAGGACGCCCCGGAAAGGAAAGAATTTGCCCCGGTTAAGTTATTGCTTGGTTTAAATTGAATGAAGTCAATTGAAATTCCCAACGCGTGTGCCACAGTTTGTCCCACTTTTGTATTGATTCCTTGACCCATCTCGATTCCCAGGTGTGACACGGCCACGGTCCCGTCAAAGTGATAAATTGCAATGAAAACTGTGAATTTCGCGCCTAGATATTCTATCAAAAATTTTACAGGAATAGCGGAAAGGCCGCGTTTCTTCCATCGGTTTTTCTAATAAAAATAAAAATCTATTGTCAATTTAATCGCTCCAAATTCATCATCCAGATACGTAAAATAAATTCCCAAAGAAAAAAAATGATTAAGCATGACTTGATTTTAAGAAATTTCGGTGATGGCGGATGGACGTGTCCGTTAAAAGACTTGCATATTGTACATAAAAACTAATTACGAACTTTAATACAGGGTAAAAATTTACCGAGTTAAATTCGTCAACAGTTCTCCTTCTTTCACGATAGTTCGAGTCAGCTAGAATTTTCTGCATCATTATTGGAATTTTATTCTCGTCAGTTATGTTTCCCGAAGTAATGTACGAGTCTCCTATGGCGGCGTAATTGACACTCCGTACGTCTAGTGGATCCTTCTTTAAAGTGAAGGCAATGTGGTCCATGATATTTTCGATAAGAGCATCGCCGTTTACGCTCCCTAAAAAGTATACGCAGTATTATTAAAATGATATGACGAATTAGACCTTGTGGTGGTTGTAATTTAAATAATTTTTGGAAATTTTAAAGATAAGTAAACCAACCTGGCCCTCGAACACTTGACGCAGTGTTCGACGTGAAGTTCAGCGGTGTTAGTTTCCATCCATCGCATGCGTACGCGTTTTGGACGAACGGAATACAAAATGCGGCGTTGTGGGACTCAGTTGAAGTGAATCCTGTTCCGCATGCAATGTTGGCGTCAAGAGATACAATTTTACCGTTGTTTGTAACGTCCACCTAGAAAAATATAACGTAAATTGTAGAGTTATCAGACTCATTAAATAATTGGAGGATTATCAAATTAAGATACATTTGGACTTTTGTTTCTACTTTTCAAAAAGTGGTTATATTTAGTTTATTATTATTTGCCTGGTAATCTGTAAAGTAGTCTGTCCGTTTCCCTATGAGCGCCATATTTTCTTCCATTGTTAGCGACACCCTAACAGGTTTTCCAGTGTGATACGCGGCAAGTGCACATGCTGCAGAGACGGCCGCATTTCTGGTTAATTTAGCACCAAATCCGCCCCCAAGACGGCGTACTTGCACGTTTACTCTGTCCAGTCAACGAGAAGACAATTAAAGTTATGAAATTTATTTGCTGCATTCTGCAAACTTACTTATTATGTGGAATATTGAGCACCGAAGCCACGACGTATTGGGTGTGGTCCATCCACTGCGTTCCAGCATATACATCGAGACAGGCTTCCCGCAGGATGCAGAGGCATGACTGCAACTCCATGTGGTAGTGGTATTTTCTCCCATTTTTAAAAGATCCTCTTATTATCTATTGCACATAAATTTTCTCAAAAACCGATTTACCTGTTAAAACCAACCTTCCTCTTTTATTAATAAACTGCATTCTTTATTAAGTTAACCAAACAAGGTAACATTGTAATTAAGAGTGCAGCCAAAATAGGTTACTTAGAAAAACGCAGCGTTGTATCGCCCACAGAGTCTGGCACACTTGACTTAACATGATATTGTACCCCTGGAGAGGCACTATGCTCGCTAAGAAGGACGCCATCTTTTTCAGCGTCCCGATACAACTTTTCCAACCCAATTTTTGGTTTCTGAACATTCTCATACTCCACTTTTATCAACGAAAGGGCTGCATAAGCAGCTTCCTTTGATGTGGCAAGTAGCAGGCCGAGTGCTTGTCCGTAATAGGAGACTTGCTTTTGGACAAATACAGTGTCAACGGGTGGCGTATTACTGTTCGCATGTTCGTTGGTTTGTGAAGTAGGCGTGCTGTACTTCACTAGGTCGTACAGCCGTTTAAATATGTCAGCCCCCTGATGAACAGAAATACATTTGGTTTCTGTTAGAAGTGGAAACAAATTGTAAATGTAAATTCATTGATTAAGGTTTGCCTTTACCCCTTTTCCACTGATGGAACGATTTAGTGCGTACTTGTTTGCTTCATTCATTTTCACAACCTCAGTAGATAAGGTTGGTTCCTCCTTCCGGAAAGAAGTCATAACTACCGTCTTAAAAATTATCGTAAAAATAATTTCGTATGCTAAAAAAAGCAATTTAGGATATATGTAAACAAATATAAATTCGTAATCACCTTGGCTGGCGTGGATGGTGGCCCGGCATATATTCCAAATTCCATGTAGTTATTCGTCCCGGGAACATCCTTCGCTTGGAAAAATTGCACTACGCCAGGAAGTTTCTTCATGACAAAAAATACTAATTTAACCTTATTTGTGCATACATACATATGTAAGTTTATAAAAAATTTCTTAGCGGGACGAATACCAAAGCTTGAGTGGCATCAATACTTCTTAACGTTGCGTTAGCAGCTTTGCTGAGAAGAAACGCACCGAAAAGTTCGTTTGGTAAAGTTGGCAAGTCTGCGATATATTCGGCCTCTCCTGTTAAAAACAAGAAAGAATTTTAAATATTCGTTTTTAAAATACGTGTGGTGCCCTGCAAAACAAACCGGAAGTCTGATGAATGGCCTCAATCTTTCGGATTGGTTTGTACAACGGTGAGTCACCCATTTCCTGTTCGAAAGTCTGTAAACCCTTACTAATACCGCGAATAAGGTTGTCGGCACCAGATCTCATTGTTCAAGAAGCCATGTCGCCAACGATGGAGAGAATTGTCTACACGCTTAAAAATGCCCTCGGTAAATAAGGGTAGGCGTACTCAAATTTAAGTACATACGTAGCGAGTTTGTAACTACGAGAGGTCCCCACTGGTTTGAAGTACATAGTGGGTACTAAAAGAAAATAAGGACATTCCCTTTACCAAGAGACTCTGCAATATCTTTGTTCTGTTACAACTACATAATGAATTTAAATATGATGAAGCAATGGTAAACAAGAAATCAAGTACTTGATACAAGTACGCCAGTCCTCAAACTAAATCTTTTAAGACTTCACAAATATATGCCATGCGTACTGAAATTAAATATGCCAGAAATGAATTAGAATATGTATACAATACAATTATCTTAGGCCGTCCTTAAGTTTCATTTGAACAATTACAATTTATTTTAGTTTATATTTGTACTGAAAATTACAATTAATCACGATTTTATCACAAGGTAAGCGTTAATTGTAAATTTAATAACGTATCAAATAATTCTTAAATAAATTAATATCATAAATAATTTTACATTCTACTGCACAAATGCTGCCAACTCCTTAACACTAGACATAACTGGACAAATAGGCTTCATTTTATAAATTACATAGTCTAAAAATTGCCACGCTCCGTAACATGTAGTCGGAAATTCAATGTTAAACACATAGAACGACTTAAATGCTAAGTCAACTGCTTCCATTACACTTGTGCATTTCACAATTTTCCGTTTGAAAATGACCAGAAAATCTTCGAATATTAAGGATTCCTTGCTACCAACTAAATACACTTGAGGGTACAGATCCAATTTGTTATCCAGAAATTCGTTGTATTTTGGCTCAGAATTGACCTGTAATAAGTATATTATTTTAAAAATTTATTACAAAATTCAATACATGTCACAAAAATAATTTACCATAATAAATGATTCAACTGAACCAAGAAGCGACGTCTTTTTACTTTTTGGCCGAATCAAGTAGGCTAGTAAAAATAGCGCTGCAATTGATGGATTTTCTGCAAGCATAAAAATAATGAAAAATTAGCGACAGTCAAACAATATAGCTGAGTTAATAAATAAAATTAAAACAACAAATGCAACACCTTCAGCAGCTTTCTCTCCAATAGTCAGGGTAGTTGCACACTTCTTAATACTTTTTGAGTAGATTAACAATTTTGAAGCGGTATCTTTCCATTTAAAAAACAAATGAGGCCAATGGGTAAATTTGATCGAAATCGTTTTGAATCTGAAATTGAATAGCATAAATTTATCTTAGAGCATACTATTAAAATGTTACGTAAATAAAACTGACTGCGCCATCGATGTCGAAAAGCCTGGGCCATGCTAAGACAATATTTTCAAAGCTGTCTTTGTTTATCCGGAATATTTTAGACCGCTTTTTCAAAGATTTTCAAAGATTTTGGCAGGGGGTCCCCTATTGGCCTTCAACCATTCTTGGATGGACAGAAATTCCTCCTGGCTAAGTTCGTCGTCTAAATTATTAAATTAATTATCTTTAATTCCATAATATACTTAAATTCTCATATTCAATTTAGGCTAACCTTCAATTGCCATCTCGAGTTTCTCATTGCATATTTTTGGGATGGGTTTATTAGCTTGCCAAAAGTTAACAAAATACGATTGTATGAACCCTGATGGTCGTTTGCTTGTCCTTTTTCCTCTTGAATTTTGGAAAGTGCAGGAAGGCGTAAAGAACGCGTCCTTAAAAATATATTAGCATACATATTACGTTTTTATACATAGTGGTTGCTAGCTATTTATATAGACAATTTAATAATAATAAGACCTTCAAATTCAATCTTTCATCCTCCGTCATATATGGAAAAAATTGTTCCACTATGCAGTCTGCCAATTGTCGTCTTTGGTCTGTACTAGGGCGTGTGGAGCTTGTCTTATTCATTAAGGCGAGGCACGTTATGGAGACTAATTTTTTCCGCAGCGAAAGTTGTAACGGGTTCCTGGAGTCAGCAATTCCTATAATTTGGGATCCGTGATTGGTTCTAGTATTTATATCGTGCTGCTTAAGAAGAGTTTTGATGTCCTGCAATAAAATTAATAATAATGTAAATAATGAAATAAATATATTTCCTATATAGATAGAAGAATTTTCTAATTACCACGATATCTGTCTTCATCATAAAATAATTTTCTCTTCCTAGATCGTTTATTACTTGAGACTGGATAAGGATTCTGAGAATCTCCAACTGAACTGGAATTATGTAGCGCGTTGGGTGGAAGTAGTTGGTACTGAAACTTATGAAAAATGTGCATTAGTAATTATTTCATTGAATTATTAATTATTTGTAAGGCAGAGAAATAAAAAAACTTGGACTTTTTACATGCAACAGTGGTTTGAGCAAGTCAATTTCTTCTACTTGCTTCAAGTCAAATTTTTCACTTTCCTCCACTTTATATGCATTATAGTGCTTGGAGAAAGATAAAGTTTTTTGATATTTAAATAGTATCCTAAATATATCCTGCATTCTAATAATAGCAATTACTTGTCCAAATAATGGAAGCTCGTTGCAAGATTAGAAATCAATCGCAAGATAATCATTTACAGATATTTTTAACCCTTTAACAGAAATGCGGTCAAATCTCGAAATTGGATCATTAGGATTAACGTGCGGCAGAAAGTCAAATAAATTACCAATTTCAATCTTTGCGAATATTTCTTCTGAAATAGGATACGTTTCAATTGAAAATCCCTTATTTTCGATCAGCCTATAACTTAATAATAATTGATTCCTAGTTGATACAGAACCAGTTATATTTTTAAAATTACACCCTATTTTTGCTACATGTTTAAAAAATTTGTGACGAGCTTCAAATCGCATTGCCCAATAATAATGAAGAGGACCAATTTGTTTTATTGCTGCAGGATAATGAAGCATATGATGATGTTTTGGGCGCAAACACTTATTGGTCAACTTTTGATATAAAAAATGGTGATCGCTAATAATGACTTTTAAGTAACTTAGCGATTGGGCAGAGATAACTGGACTCATAATAATGTCCATAATCTCCATGAATATTAGAAACAACTCCCAATGCGTATCATTTTCACAAAACTGGTCTGCAAATATCAGGCAAAAACTTTGTAAAAGGGTAAATGTTTCGCCTGCTGAAAGGCCTAATAAAGAGTCAGAATTCATTATCATTCGCTCTGATAGTTCATTAGGACAATCTTTCTGCAGTTGCTGATAATTGAATGATGTTATTCTAAAATTGATTTGTTCCAAAGTTAGGCTACCTGAAGAAAGTATTTTTTGAAGCATCAATTTAATATTAATGGGTGCCACCCCTTCCAAGACATCGTGCATAATATCGGGACAAACATTTTTAGTTACATGAAAATTTGGGATATCATTAAAAATTGAGGAAATTTTTATTCCAGTTAAACTTAGAGTTTTCAACTCTAAATCTGTCTGGTAATTGTCAATATTTCTACGAAATAAATTATTTTCAGTACACAAAGTGAGGCAACGATACCTTGGAAGTTTACAAAAACGACAGGGATAATTTGAAACAAAGGATTCTGTGAAACCAAAAACCTGATGAAGGCCGAGATTGTCGCCGGTAACCTGCCCTAGCACAATTTTTACCTCACCTTCGTAACTGTCGGACTTAATAAAAATAGGATTTTGTGACAACTCTGAGAATTCTGAAACTGTTTTAGCTAAAATTTTTGAGATCGGATAAGATTGTAATAATTTAGTCTTAAATGAACAACATAGGAAAATATTTTCTAATTGAGACGCATGCTGTGGTGCAGCATTCAAAATTGAATAGTAACAATTTCCTAATTTATGTACGCCACGCCGTGATCCCAATGGGTTGCATACCTCTAATTCATCATAGTAAAATAGGATTAACACTACTGGAATTCGTGACTGCAGAATTAAATTTCTAAACAAATTACCAGAAACTGGGGAACTAAGAACTCCATTCTGTACATCGTTGTTTACTTCTAGAATAGAACGCATGACTCCTGGCATGGCAAGAACTTTCTCTAAGACTTTAGTGATTGGTACATAATGATACTTATCAAATTTAACTTGTGACTTCAATTTTACAGTAGCAAGACGAGAGCCCAAAACTACTTCTTCCGGTTTAATAAAATAACCGGTATCAGTTAAATATTTTTGAAGCAAATAGTCTGATTTTACCATTTCAAAAGGGTTTCGCAACTGGTCTAAATAATTGGGTAAATCATTAACTTCACTACAAGTAAATTTGCCTATAAAATTGACTACGTCGTTAAATAATTGGGAAATATTGGAAATAATTTCGTTGCAAATTGAAAGCGAAAGTCGGCCACTACTTTTTAATTGTACGACAAATTTGACAGCTTTCTTTTTAATTGCTAAAATCAGGTTGTCAAAATCTATTGGAATCGAAAATTCGGCGGGGGCTTCTATTTTAGGAGAAGCATCTGGATTTGAGGTTTCTATTTCTGGAGAAACATTTGAATCTAGAGGCTCATTCTCTAAAACGGAAGGTGATTTTAAACTACTGTTTGTCAAATATTGGTCTAAATGTTTATTTATGTGACTTTTAAAATCTACGAATCTCAACAGACTTTTTTCACAAAATAAACATTTCCCGTTTAAGTATCTTTGTAATAATAAATGTTGATATTTTAAATGCCACCAAATATCTGCCCATGTGGCTGGCAAAGTATTTTTACAAATTGTGCACTTTACCTGTATCGGCACCTCCGACGTATCGTGTGTAGCAAGTTCTATGTCACCTGATGAATTGACTGTGACCGCAATATTTTCAAGGGGCCATTTTCTACCAAGACCGCCCTGTATTTGAAGACGATGACCAAGGGGGGGTATAATTTCAGCCAATGTGCTGCTCAACGTCCCGGAATGGAGCAAACTTTTCAGGATATCGTCAGTTAGGAAGTTTTCTGTAAAATTATGAACAGTCAATAAATTTAACTGCTAGATTAGTTATTTTGTTCAAATTGTGTTATACCTTTTAACGTAACCTTGTACTGCTCCAAATTCTCTTCTTCGAGAACAACAAATGTTGTTTCGAGCACTTCCTCCATTTCTAATTATTTAATTGAAGTTATATTTTTTTAACGAGTCGACCATGCCGTGCGAGTGTTCCAGCTCTACTGCCAGATTTTCTGAGAGCGCTTACAGAATAAAATCTCAACCGCCACTTTTCTGCATCATAATTCCCCATTTGATTTCAATACATGTTCATCAAAAAATAGGACGGAATGGTATTAAGTTTCAGTACGCATGGTGCATTCTTTTCTATGAATAAACCGGCTATTAATATAGGACGGATTGTAGATTTGTGTGCATTTTATTTAAGTACGATATGCGTTTTTAATTTAAAGACCTATAAATATGCACAAGTACTTATATGTATGTCAGATATATTTAATTAAATTTTAGTACGCCCCCATACTAAACTATTTTTAAGCGTGTAGAATATTGGAAAGTACGTTTATATTTAAAATAGCGCAACATTTCGCAACTTTACAATGCTGAAACTTGTGTTTGGTTTACTCAAAATTGTGTAACTGAATCAGACACATAAATGGGGACAATTTACCAGGGATGGTCAAAATACATGTATTTTAAATACAATTGTATTTTGAAAATACAAAATACATATTTTGTATTTTGTATTTAAATACAAAATAGTCTAAGTGTTTTGAAAATACAAATGTATTTTGAACCAATTTAGGAAATTGTATTTTGTATTTTACAATTAGAAAAATGTATTTTCACTTCAAAATACAAAATACTTTTCCAAAATACAATTATGTTAATCGCACTAGCTTGCCACCGAGTAGACGTGGAATGAGCACACTGCGAGAAAAAAAGAACTTTTATAAAAGGTCTTAAACGGTAACCGACAACAGACGTAATTTCGTCGAGGCCTTTAAAGTATTTGGATTGGACAATTTTGATAACGAGAAAAACGAGGATGTGGACATTTAAGGGCTAGATTTTCTTGACACACATTAGCATCTGAGAGATTCTAATTTAGACATTCCACTGTCATCCACATTTGTTCTCAAGTCGCACAAACGGTTTTATATACACGTTGAAGGGCAGTGAGCAATTTATGTAATTGTGCTTAACTTGTTTTTTAAAATCAGTAAATCAGATTAACTAATGTAAAGAAACATATTGCATTCTTTGAATCTACTAAATCCATAAAACGTGGAGCATTTTGTATTTTTAAAGTATTTAAATACTGTATTTTATATTTCAAAAAGTATTTAGATACTTATTTTTGTATTTTGTATTTCAAAAAGTATTTAAATACTGTATTTTGTATTTTGTATTTTGGCAAAAAATAGTCAAAAAAAAAGTATTTTGAAAATACAAATGTATTTTGAAAAAAAATTACAGAAGTATTTTGAAAATACAAATGTATTTTGGGCTCCGAGGTGTATTTGTAGTTTGTATTTTGTATTTTGAAAAAATGTATTTTGACCATCCCTGCAATTTACAAAAAAAAGCAAATCCTCCGCCCCGCTGAATCAATTTTACACAATGGTAGAGTTTGCAAAATTTACTTTTGGTGTGTACCAACAAACTGTAATAGTATCAAAGCGATACCTTGTATAATAGGTTTTTAGCAAGCCACTTCCTAAAACATGGACGACCCTCTGGATTCCCTAAACTGGGACTCAATTCTTCTGTTAATACGTCCAACGCTCCATTCAATACTTCCTGTGAGAGTAAGCTCTTGCCAGTCAAGAAATTTTCGCAATTAGTTGCATGAACCTAAATAAAATCAACATTTATATTTGATACAAATTATTTGTCTAATCTAATTTAGCTAACAATTAACGGACTAACAAATGATTTGGAAATTCCTCCGAAGCAAAGTTTTGGTTTCTCAATAATATTAAATTCGGTGTCCAATTTAATTAGAAATCCAGCATTTACATACGCATGCGCATTTTGATATCGTTTGGAAATCTGCAAAGTAAAATCAAATTAGGTGGTTTCTGAAGCAAATTAATCTCGTTATTATTTACCTTATAACTGTGATATCGATACTCTTGTCCACTTAATTTTGGCAGAATTAAGGAAGTTAAGATTTTCCCCTTCATAGAAACATTAGTATCCAGGAGGTTACAAATTGGAATTAACGTTGACCCATTGACATCATTAATTGAAGCTATCTCTATTTTTGTTCCAATACTTTCCAAAATTGTAAACATATCGGACGGAAATTCAGGGTGGAGGTATTTTAGCATTAAATTTCCTGCAGGTGTTGCTCTCTATAAGAAATTAATTAAATCATTAAATTTTTTATCGTTAAATTTCATCATTAATTCATCATTAAAGTTACGTGTTCGTAGTTTGAGTAAGTATGGAACTAAAAATTACGTAAACGATTCTGGCAATAATTAAAAAAGCCAGAACTAGAGGGTGCTTTAGAATTAACGCAACTTTCTTTACTTGCAGATATAAAATAAAGCAATTTATTTCTTTAAACGATATTTTGGGCAGAAATAGACCAGGGTTCAAACTAATTATTTTTTGCTTTCAATAGTCCAAACACCCCCTTCCGCCAAATCTGGACCGCTTGTCAGATGCTCCAAAAAGTGCTTCGCCACAGTTTTGAACTACCTTTTTTGAGATTTTTGGCCACATTTGGTAAAATAAGTTCAAACTTTTAGCTGAATTTTTTCGGCTATGATATTCTTTCCAGCTTAAACACAAAAATTCTTTAATAGGTCTTGTATGGAGAAAATTTGGGAACGTTGTTTACCTCTCCCATGTTAATTGCATTTGATCCGTTTACAGGCGGATGGGGATATTTTGGCTTAGATTTAGTGTCTAGTTTTGCTTGAATGGTTTTCTTGAATGTGGGGTAGTTGTACTATGTGAAAAAAAAATCATTTTGATAACCTGGGCAGTGAATCATGTTGTACGGGGCGACCAATTTTGATTATTTCAGGTCGAGTCTTTTTTCCGCCGTCGTGCTTGCTTCATTTATTTTACTTCTCATTATATATATATGCTTATAAAACCTTATAAGATTTGATGTACAACTTCTAAGCTTTAAAATAATGTATTATGTTAGGCGATAACTTCTAGTACTTAATCGAATTTCGCTTCGACATTCCAGATTTCTGTTTGTACGAGTCTTACCGTTTCTGGGGCTGCCACACGAATGGGCCGACCAGATATTTTTTTGTGACTAGCAGTTTTTTGTAGCGCATACCTACGTAGTGTATGCCAAATTGTCGGTTTTTGAATTAGTTGATTTTTAAGGTGACTACAGCTCAATTTCTTGGAGCGCGTAACCACTTTTTCGTAGTAGTGGCAGTTAGCTTTTGTTAGTTGCTCGGTGGTTTGTGACCTCATTTTGGAACGGTAAGAGATATCGACTTCCGGTTTTCGGATTTTACACGATAGATGTATGTGCTACATGACTACGGTGATTTCGAATTTGGGGCAAACTGATATCCCTTAGTTTCGTGCATATGAAAACAGTTGCGTTAATTCTAAAGCACCCTCTACATATCAGAAACTTAATATGAACTAAATATAAAGTATATATGTACTTAACATTTCAATTGTTAGTACTGCAACAATTTTTGTTCATTACCTAAAATTGTTTAAATGATTCTGACACATAATTAAAAAAAAGCAAACATTTTTAAAAATTTCAATTTAAAATTGTTTTGCATTCGCTGCATGAAATGTTTTGACAGATTAGGATATATTCAAATACATTTATCTATAAACTATATAATACATTTCTTATCGGCGTATTGGCCACCCTCGACAAATGCTTAGCTATCGGCTCTGCATAGGCAAACTGGTCAGAATCCAAAGTCCGAAGAAAGTCAATCATTTTTGCGAGCGGAATACATCCCCCGAGTTTGAGGGTGTCTCCTTCAATGGAACATTTGTACAGTGGCAAAGCAGTAATGTCGATGGTAGTTTGAGCATTGGCAGGTGGGTACACTCCTGAAATATAAATAAATAAAAAATCAATTGCAAAACAATGACATATATTAATTCTTAATGCCGAGAGGCGGAAATTTGTCGCCAATATTTCACACTAACTAATAAATTTGGTTGGTAGTCGAAACCGGTAAAAATATAGTTTGTTTCCGCCGATAGTTATAACCAAGCCTGTAAATAAGTAGCATTCTCACCCGATCCGGTATTTCCAGCTATTAATCGATACATTTTTCCTTTCTCCAATGTCGTCCTGATTACTGTGAAGAAATCTGCAATATTCTTTGGTTGGACCCATTCGTCGCTCCGGGATAATTTCATGTGAACGCGTGGATCGTCATCTTTGATTACCCCATTTGTCTTGTAGCAAGTGTTCAATACTCCGCACCACCTTTCTCCATTTCCGTTTTTATCAGAACCAATAGTGGATGGCGAATGTTTTGAAACGTGACAATCCGACGCTGGAATACACGATACGGTACCATCGTCCATCTTTAGCTCGTCCGGAGCGTCCGTCGCCATAGATTTCATCCAAGATTGAGCGATAACCGGTACAGCGGCAAATATTTCCGTCAAAACCATCCTCAATATCCGCCACGGTTACGGATTAATCCTTATTTTCCATCATGCTAAAATCAAAAACGTAGAATGATTATTTGTAATACTATGTTTTAAAACTAAGTCATAATTGAGTAACAAAATTGTGGAAAATTTTTTCTAACATCGATGTAGCATCTGGACAAATTTTAGAGAAATGATTCTATCATTTGAAGAAATGATATATGAAATATAGAAATGATAGAAATGAAATTTTTTACTCATCTTTCAATAAATTTTCTTTAAACTTTTACTAGAGCTTGTGAAAAATGAATACCGCTGAAAAAAATTCTGACTCACCTGTACATATTCATTACCATGCCAGGCGAACAAAATCCACACTGCGTTCCGGAGTGATACACCATTTTGCGTTGAATTTCGTGATACCCGGTCTTCTTGTTCCCAAGAAATTCTACGGTGTATATATCCCAACCATTACAACTCAAGACGGGAGTTAAGCACTGTATTTTTGTTTTATAAAACAAATATAGTAATCAAGTCAACCAAATTTTGCAACCGCATTTTCGATAATTACGTGTTTTACGAACGTAAAAAATTTCATGGCTTACAGAGTTTATTGCTTTGATGTCTCCATTTGGTAGGCGAGCTGTGACAACACAAGCTCCACAGCCACCTTCTTGGCACATCGTTTTCGTCCCCTTCAATTGAGCCGTATCCCGGATGAAACCTACCAACATTTTGGAGGTGGTTATTCCCCCACCTGAGGATACTAAAATAAAATGGCATTGTACTTCGTGGCTAGGCGTACGCAACATGTTAGTATCAACCCTGAAACAAATATCTTAAAAGATTTACCATAGTATTTCTTTCCGTTGATGGTGAATTGAACCTCGGAAATTATGGCGTCGAGTCTAAAATTAAATTAAGCGAAAATTAATGCTCCTTAAACTACTTAAGGGCTTCAATAGTTTTACTCAATTTTAAGCCCGAAACAGAACGTTATGTACCCATCACGTCGGTCTGTCTGTCTATCTCTCCGTCTGTTTATCTTGCGATAACTGTCGTAAAACTAATCCGATCGACTTGAAATTTTGCACATGTGGAGTGTGGGTGAAATGAGGAAATGAGTTAAGTTCGAAGATGGGCGAAATCGGTCAAGTGGATGATGGGTGGGGGCATATAGATGATGACTGAGGTATTATGCACCAAAATTTAAAAATTGTCGTAGAAAGTTGAGATTTTATACAAAAGTTGATAATTCGTTCTAATGAAAGAATATAGAGTAAAATTACAAAAATTGTCATCCGGAGGGACCCCATTTGGTGACTTATTGATTTTTGAAATTTTCGTATTGAGCTGAGATTTATTAAACAGCCTGCGAATTGTTTATTACTGGAAGAAAGTTAATATAAATTGGAAAAATCAATCTAAATTTTTAAAACTTTTGAAATGCATCCATAAAATTTCATACAAAAAAGTAGGATTGAGTGATAACCACAAATTGGCCTGAGTAAGGACATATCAAGTCAAGGGTTTTTTTATTTTAAAAAATTGCAAAACAATTTACCTTGAACCCATGTCGTTGGCTCAAATTTATATTTCGGATTTTGAAAGTTGTAATTTTGTTGCGTCCCTTTTAATATGTCGTCTAACACCCCAAGACATACAACGGTACAGGAGTAACCGGAGCAGAGGGTTTTGGAATTGGGGAAGTTCTCAAACGATATAAACCAGCAATTAAAATTTCAATGGCTAAATCACGTCGTTTTATTACCTACTCAAGGACCCTTGCATCGCAATTCTTTAAGCGTAACCATATTAACGGAAAGTATATAAGTTTACCCTTAATTATATAATTTACTATACATTGTATAATTTTAATTAAAAATCAGTGTATAACGTCTAGAAATTCACGAGTAAGTATGATAATAGGTATGGTAAGTGTGTGAAGGTAGCATGCTTACGCAGATAATTACACTATGTGTAGTGCATTATGCGAATCTTTGCCTACATATCGATGTAAAAGATAATTATTTTTCTTGTCAGTGACAATGTTTAAAGTTTTTATTTTGCACGTAATTGGGGACTCATACTGCATGTAACATGCCTACATATGACTGATCAGTAATTTTTCTCGTTGTAAGTGAAGCATGACCCAATACGTGCGTTACGTTATAAGCAAAGGTTGCGGTTATATAAGTCTTACAAAGCATTACTGGGTTAAGATATGTGTAGATAGGTTAGCTTGCATAGGTTGCTTTGCAACTTTGTGTCTGTCTACCTACATACATAAATGTATAACAAAGTGACGTAATATGAGGCTTGATCCATTTGTCCATTCATCTCAATATTGTCTATATGTGATACGAGCCGAGCTGTAGCTTCCACAACGGAATGATTGTTGACCAGGTTATGAGATTACGCAGAACCAGGAGCGAGAATTGGAATGTTTTCACAATTGGAGTAGTGGGGGTCGAAATTTTTGGGTTCAGGTCCAGTCCGATTGGTTAGCACGGTTGAATTATCTGCCCACGGATTAATATGCGTTCCACATATATGGCATTATTTCTCAATCAAAAAACCATAAATAACAACTTGCATAACCGAATTGTGGCATTGGTATATTGTTGATTAGATTCGGTCCTTGTCTGAAACCGCAGACAAGGGCAGATTGGCCTCACTCTTGATGGTAAACAGAGCAATTGAGTTGTGACCTAACAAATGCCACAATTAATTATTTTTCTTATCTGTTAATATGTACAATGTACCATGGAAACATGCACATCGTGTTACGCACTTATTATTAGTCATTATAAGAGATGACTCCTCTTGTAGCACGGGCTACGTCATTATATCAGGTCCACGTTACACTGGGTATAAGTCTCTTCAGACTAGGGATTTTTATTTTCACCCGGTGTAAATTAAATAATAAGTCTTAATCTGGTTAAACATATGTAGTACAATGGTTCTCATAAGTAGAAATAAGTCGCAAATTTCAAATTGGTAAAATAATTAACCAGATAGATTTTAAAAATTCTCGAAAGAGAGACCTTCAAATTCTCATGTATTACACAAAATCTCTGAACCGGTTGTGAATGCTCGAAATTTCTTTTTGTTCCGGACTGCCTTTATAAAATTAATCAAAATGAACCTGTCTTTGATTTCAAGTGCTTTGTTGTTTGTGAGTGCAGTCTGATTGATGCATTGTACATAAACACGGCACTGAACATTTACGGAATTGTGGATGCGTACATAACAGATAAGAAATGTACACGATGAAGGTTATCTCAACAATAAACATTGTTATGTATTACAGACTCGTTTCACAGTGGTCAGTTCCATGCTGTGAAGATGTGTAGTGTTGAAGTGGTTGACCAATACTGTGTAGCATGCTTATTATGTAACTGACCAGCCGCCACGGTTTTGGAATTGAGCTTATATGACACAATAGGTGCATCAGGTGAGGACAGCACCAGGACTCGGTTGGCATTGGTGTGTTTCATACTGCGAAATTATGAATGGACAAAGTGAGCATGCTTACCATTTACTGCTGGACATCCCCATGACGTACGTGTCTAGACTACATAGTCTAGGTACTACCTAGTACAACAATTTGGGTCCGTGAGCCAAGGACGCTTACACGCTTGCGAGTCCGCTGTCATTGGTCCATTTTATGCTGTGAAGGTGACTTTTGCTACCCTAATATATTGGACATGCCTAAATGAACTGACCAGGCTACACAGTGTAAGTATTGCTCTTATATAGCAACATATATAAGCATGAGCTAAGCCTGGTTTCACTAAGATTCGATGGGCATTGGTCAGTTTCATACTGTGGAACTGTGTATGAATAACGCGGACATGTTTACCATTTATTATTTTACATTCCGATGATGTAACTGTCTAGACTTCACGATTTAAGTACTTTGTTTATGCTACGAAAAAGGTGCAGTACCTCAGAACAGTTACAACAGTCGGTTTGGAGTGGCCAGCTACACGCAGTGAAGATGGGTATAGTTACCCTGAATTGTTTGACCTAGTCATGATGTAACTGACCAGACCACTTTACAGGTTCAGTGTTGCGCTTATATAACAGAACACGCAGTTGCCCCAGATATATATTCCATATGGCGTGATCTTCCATGGGTTCTAAGTTACTGCTGACGCAGCTAAATTATATGCGTATATGGTACGTTAATTTTTATAGTTATATAATGACTAAATTGCTAATGACTTTATACTTTGTAAATTATCTTCAACCTCGGAAAAATACAAGTGGAGTAACGAAGCCCTGGCGAGTTAATTGGGCTTTTCCATAAATATTTTAATGGGTTGCATAAGAAGGACCTTGAACATTGTACGTGTCAAGATGATAGCCGTCTATATAAACCTAAGTATGGGGCGGCTAGCATTTCAAGTGCAGGAATTAATCGTTTTAATTTTTAAGTCATGTTAACGTAACTTCCCAGTTTACCTCAAAGGCCGGAGAAAGCTTGAATAAGCAAGGGGGGATTGTTAAAAACTTTGTAAAATTGGATTAAAATTTGTTATTTGCCGACATAAATACATACATAGCATTCGTTCTAACCAATTCATAAAATGCATAGTTTGCTAGCACGGCCGTTTCTTAAAGGGATAACGTCACCATCATTATTATACTCGATCGTGGCAAATCTTACTGTATTTTATGCAAATCAAAATTTAGATCGTGATCAAATTACGAACCCAAACCCTACACCGCGTGGTCTAGTTTTAGAGTATGACTACATTATTGGTAAGTGCAAATCAACAATTACTTTTTAATAGTCTTACTACTTGGCGGGTGGTCACGTCTGCATATGTAACTAATAGTGGGATCCGGATCTGCTGGTGGAATTGTTGCGGCGAGATTATCAGAAAATTTTAACATTTCTGGTAAGACTAATTTAAAAAATTGGATACTTATTTAAATCGTTTTGTAAATTACGCCAAATCTAGAGGTTGTTAAATACATAATCACGTCATACACTTGGTGTTTGCATAAATTATTTCGTAAAATGTATCCGTCGTATGGCATATACATATTCAACTTCAAAAAGGCAAATGTGCATATAAATAGATAGGTATGCATCCATACACTAAAATGCAAGCATTTATTCACTCATTTATTTTGTATTAATACTTTAATATTTAACATTTTATTAGATATGACAGAAGTATGTGAGCATCTCACGTTTATCATAGGTGAGGATGTGACCATGTGACAATGACGTGCAAGAATACCCTTTAAAGGCAAACCAAATGTTTTTGCATGGGATGACCAGTTCATTAGATAACGGACGTAGTAACCCTTCTTTAAAAGTGACAGGATATTCCATTAACACCACATTAACATATTGTAGATATGCATTTACTCTGTGATTGTGGTTCTTATGTGGGTGTGGATGACGTAAGATAAAACCTCGTTTAAAGTAATTAATAATGTGTATAATTTTAGAAAAACCACCCTGCAATCAATCTCATATTTTGTGGACGGTCCCATATGAAAACTTCATCACGGGAATTTGTTTCTCAAAAATTATGCACTTTATTAAATACTTTCAACACGTAATCTAATATAAGCCAGCAGTTTGTCGGGGTTCTCAAGTTTAATGAAGTACATATTATGTGATAATAAGAATACCTAACAGGATATGCCTAATAAGTCAATAAATTAATTTGTTATTAAAATAACTTAATAAACTACTTTGCAGAATTACTGGGAAAGTAAATTGTGTTCACTACATAATTCATTAGATACTAACTCAGTTTGCCCAAAAACCCGACTATCCCCAACTTTCGGGTAATACCCTCGTCACGAGTGTTCAATAGAAATCTGCGGAGAATTTCTTACCCTGAATGTGACGACAATTCCTACACGGTGGGGAATGACAACAGCAAGTTCCACGTAATGTCAAGCACTATAGCATAAAACCCCAACCTATAACCATCCTCTATTTTAAACATCTCATACCCTCGTCTCCCGCATGGGATTGCAAACACCGGGATAGAATTTGCCACCCGTTTCTCCAGCGACCTACGATTTCTACCCTGGCTCAAATTTGCCAATCCCTTCACACACATCTTATTCACCCCCTCAAGCGCCCTCAGGAGGAAATACGTCAAAAATAATGTGACTAAACATACATACGGAGCTAGGGGATACACCTTCATCGGCATCTTCCCATACAATTTAATCGTAACATATATGAAGCCTGACAAAAGCGTGGATATAGTCGACAGCGTCCCCAGTACCATCGACATAACGAAGTTCCTCCCAATCTTCCCGGTCAGATGGAGCTGCCTGTAGTTACTGACAACGTTGGCAAATTGTGTCCCATTCTGCGTGGGAAATTGGCTTGTCAGGTTTGCAATTCTTTCCCAAGTAAATACAATCGTTGTTAGGAAGGCTAGAAAGATCGAGGTCGCTTGGTCGTACTCCACCCATGCTATTGTCATTGCGACGTAGCTGATCAAACGTACCGTCCATCGAGTCCAGTTATGATTCTCGAGATATGGGCCGTACCATTGTTCGAGGAGGAAGCCATGTGGGCACATCTTTAGATATACACCAAGTCCAGCGATAACAAAAGAAAGTGGGACAAAGAGGAGGCCTTGTATTCTCAACGTGAGAATTAAATTTTTATAGCGGGACACACTTTCCAGGATGCGAAGGGGCGAATCTGAAATGTGTGGAAAACTATGAATTACAAAGATCGTAAATTTATGTATATTTCACTTATACATTTACAGACCTTACTGCATATAGGGTGTCCAGGCTTAAGTTGGAATGGGAATCATGACCTCTGGAATTCGTCCTAATAAGAAAATTTTAAAAAAACCTTCATTACAGTGTAGGTGGTAATCATGCCAACCAGGTTTTGTCGCGGAAGATTTGTCGCAGCCCTTGCTTGGCCACCAATCCGACTTTCCGCACCAACCCTCAAATAAGCGATTTTCCACCCGTTTGCGAGATGTCTCGGCTGATTTTTTGCAATTAACGTTCGAATCCAGCCAGCTTTTTCGCTTTCTAGTGAACTTTAGAGTACCTTGTTTTGCATTAGGCTCAAAACTTTTCGATTTCTCAGAAATAGGGACATTTGGAGGGTTTTCTTTTTTTAAATCCACTTGGCTCAATGTAAGCCTTGGTTGGAATTTTGCAGAGAATATAGATTCCATGCACAACTTCTGTCGATAATCTACACTTACCAGGTTGCCTGAGTGAAAAAATGTGTTTTTCAAAGTCTTTGAGGGATCAACTTTGTCGCAGTTGTTGTCATAAATGATGATTATTTTTAATGACATTTGGTGACACAGTTTTTTGCCACATTTTTGGACGGTGATTTTTTGGGCTTTAACATACTTTGAGAAACTTGGTTTATTTTTTCTGTGACCCTCAGTTTATGTACTTTAATATTGTGAAATAAACTTTTTGAAATTTTCAGTATTTGTGCACAGCCACGCCTTGACTGAGACGAGTTAGTGATAAAGAAATTTTAAATGACTTTCACTTTTTAATCGGTGGGTATGACAAGAGGTTGCCTGAAATTTTTTTTGAAATTGCACTTTTCAGCATCCTTATACTTCGAAATATAAAGGTAGATTCTCATTTTGGGACATTCTGCCGTTTTGAAGTGTTGCCACGTCTTGTTCGAGTCACATCAAGCAACGTTTTTCTGGGTTTGAAAAAACTCGATTCGCGAGGCTTGTACTTTTAGCCAGATTGCTATTGAATTTCACCATTTTTACAAAAACTGCTTTATACCTGCTAGTTGTTCTTGAAATTGCGTCTCAAAAAAACAATATAGCGGGACAAAAATCTTGACGAATTGCGCAGTACGATTTAAAGTAGCCTTTTCCAACTTAACCCTGGACATGCCTTAATTGCAAAATTCCTAAATATCTGACCATGTAGAACTCGACGTTCTAATGTTACCAAGTTTTCGATCAAGTTTGTCACATCTTGAGCGTATTGGGCTGTATTCAGGACGAACATAAACAGAGCACCCATCACCCAGGTAAGTAATGGAAAGAAAATTCTAATCCAGGCGGAATTTGGACCTGAAACAGCCGCTTTCGATAGGATGACAATTGTGAAACCGCCATTTACCAAGAATAACATAATAATTATGTTGAACCAATATAATTTACACGACGTTGCGTGAGATATCGTAAAGCGCTCTTTCTTAGAATTCCAAGCGATGGGGTGTTGCTCGAAGAAAGGGGTATCAAATGTGCCGGAATAGGTCCCCAGTAGTTGGGTAGAGAGCAGAGGAATCATTCTAGATGCCGATTGCTTCTGTATTATACGCTTGGCAAAATTTCGTGTTGGAATGATTCCTAGTAACCCAAGAAACCTTGGAGGTGCGTGAGTCGAGGTTCTTGGCTGCGAAGTCAATTCAAATTGTGAGGACCCCATATGTAGACGAATGACTTAATTTAATTTTTATCTCGAAAAACTGCAAAAACTGTAAACAAAAACTAAATTTTAATTTTGTCAGGTCCATGTCCTATCAAATGGTTTTGTGCCTACTCACTCACCTGGCAGTAAGCCGGAAAAAAATCCTGCTAAAGTTCAACTTTTCCATTGGTGCGTTGGAATTGTGGGAAAGCCGAGGTTCGGATTGAATTTGTTAGAAAGTGCGTCAAACTTCTAACACTGGGATATCTTTACTTTGTCGACAGACGAATGCTTTGCAAAATTTACCAAGTAGCTTCCCACGCACTTTTAAATTAGCTTAAACATCGCACTTCTGAGTTCCAAGGTATGCCAGCAAAGATTAATGCTGTGGGTGGGACGAGTACTTCGGATGTCGAGTAGCGTAATATAGAATACACTTTACCAGTGTCGAATGTGTGTATGCCAATTATCCCGTCGAATACCATACCATTTTCTTGCATAGTTAGGCATTACTCCGCAATGTAACCATCTATAACTCTAAACAGTAAAATATTTAGAGCAAATTTGGTATTTCAAGCTTATCGATCGAGGCACTAAGTTAATCATGATGAAGTTGACATAACAGCATGATGAACTTAGCATCGTGAAGAAAATCGATCCTACCATGTTTTCCATACACATATCTCTATACATATTGGACTCAATTGCGACATACCTCTTTGAATGTTTTCAGCCAGGTACATGCAGATAAATTGGTAGACACTTTATTACAATCTTAAATACCATGATAAGCCAAGAAGGCCCCGCCCATGAAGTCGCTGTCATTATTGTGTTACATTATGCATGTGAATGTGAAATTGGTTGGCACGCCCAGTCGAATAAATCGCAAACTGTGTGTGTATGTAGGTACATGTTAGAGAGAACACTTTTAGGCTATTGGTATTGAATTACTGGGCGGAGTAGTAAACGTATTTCCAAAGGTGAACCATTTCATGCAGACGCAAAGTTCTTGGAAGCTTATTTCTTTGGAAATTGGTGGAAAATTGTGGGCAGTTCATCGACGCGATGGATTGTGCAGGAAAAGAACATGCTCTTGGCAAGATTGCAACAAAATTCGAAGTGTGGGAAGAAAACTAGTTTTACGGATATCTGAGGAACATTTTGCCGATTGTCTGTTATATTTTAATGATCTCTTATTTATATTTCTGAGGGGATTCTGGTTTATGCCCAGGCGATGTAACCTTGATCTTGATCTTACTGGTATATGTACGTATGTGCCTGCGTAAATGATAAATGTCCCCGATGGACCCAGAGACAACACGTTGTGTAGCTACATATAATCCTTTCTACTAGTGAATAATGAACAAGACCGAAGTAATTTTAATGTATGCATGCAAGTTTCTGAATGCGTACGTATGTGTAAATAAATGTAATAGTCTCTAAATTCTTGCTCGAAAACCGTGGCAATGAAAGATGGTTACATACATATGTATAAAGTTAAAAACTGTGCATGCTAAAAATACATGTTTCTAGCAAAGTATCGATCAAAGTTAGGAGATAACGACAAACATTTCAATCAATTAATCAATGCATTTATTTGTTCAAAACGATGGCCACAGCCCATATAGCTACAACGGCCACACACTTCTGAGCAGGTAGATATTAATACTGCGTAAACGGGTTTAAACTTTTGCAGCTCATTTTTTTGGGATTTTTTATGGTATGATTATTTTCTAATACCCATTAGTTGTTACTTAATCTAACTTTGTACTGTCGGAAAGCAACTTAAATTCTGTACAACGTAAACCAAAACACGATGGCTGAACAAAATTTACTGATAAGCTGAAGCCCTCCGGACTCGCAGCATATGGGTGGGTTTAAATTTATGCTTGGGTGCTGTATTTGAATACGACTGAACGCCATATAAAAAAGTCAGTTCAAGGAGTGTCAACTGATAGAGTTAATTAATTACGCAACCATTATGAGGTACATATGTACAAGCGCAGCTGGGTAGATAAGTTATGTATGTAAGCGTGCATAAGTACTTTGACGAAGTTGGAAACAAGGGAAACTCTTTAGGTGGGTCAAGAGTTTAACCATATCACAATTCCTAAACGTATTAAATATAAACGATTTATTTATATTAGTTGTTACAAACAATTATCAACAAAAATTATGAAAGGCGTAAAATCCTCGTATTACAAGATTAGTTACAAATAAGATTTCGATGAAGCGAAATTTATTGTACACCCCGTACCAATCTAACAAGGGAAACTTCCGGGGTGCCCATCGTGTCTAGGGTACCATTCATATTTACGTGCAACACTTATATTTGGCGACGTGCTGTGGCGCCAAGGTCCCCAAATTTGATTGTTTTTCATTTTAAAACCATCATAGCTTTTGAACTCCAGGACGCACTTTCATGATTTTTGACAAAAATCATGACAACGAGTTCAACTTTCATATACAATGAAATTTTTCCAAAAATTTGGCTTTTAAATTTTTGGCAAAATTTCACAATTACATATCTTAGACATATGTAGAGGTTCGTCGAGAAAATCTTAAAAATATTTCAAAAAATTAAATTAATTGGTTTTAACTTTTTTCCCTAAAATTTAGACTTTTTTGATCAATTTAAGTACCAAGTCTTGAAAATCTAACGGAAACTCCAAAAGTTATAGCTTTGCAAACTTTGTCGAAAATGCGAATTTTTAAGTTTGGCGCTACGGCACGGGGCCAAATATAAGTTTTATACGTAAATATGAATGGATCCTTCATCTAGGGTCCTAGTGGATCCTAAAAAACATAGTGGGTACCCTGGACATGACGGGCACGTCGGAAATCTCCCTTGTAAGCTTATCAATCATTTCCCAACCGTATGACAAATTCCTGACCTTTGCACACATGTATGTACCTACATATCGTCGCACTAATTCTAAAAAGACGTAAGTGCATTCGATGCTTAATTTTAAAACCACGTAAGTGCACTCGATGTTTAATTTTAAAACCACGTAAGTGCACTCAATGTTTAATTTTAAAAAGACGTAAGTGCACAAAAAAAACTAGCAAAAAGACGTAAGTGCACTTTTAAATTTATAAAGAGTAATTACTTGTTCAAAATTGTCCTATCAAGGGAAATTTGAACTTATTGGCCCCCGCAGGCAAGTAATTAAAAACAATTCAAAATTTAAAAACCACACCCTCAGGGGGTGTGGTTCTCGGCACCTAGCGTAAGGTGAATTAAATCCTGACGTATTTATTTCTTCACCTCGGTGACGCAATTCCTAAAGATTATTAAAAATTTAAAAACCACACCCTTTGTGGGTGCGGTTCTCGGCGCCTAATTTGCAATAAATAAAACATGGCAAGCAATAAACATAGCAAGGCCCTATGGCTCAGAGGTACGAGGGTAGGATTGTCACCACGCAGTCACACGTTCGATTCCTCTGGCCGGGAAGCTATTGCTAATCCTACTCGGCTCGGTGTTAGTACGGGGTAGGTGCTGTCTCGTGACAGGGTGAGCCCAGCCATACGGAATGGCAATGTCACTGTGTACAGCCCTAGCAGAGTCCGTTCTCTGTCGGGATGAGACAACTTGCTACGAAATTATGGCAAGAAGTCGCCATCTGAGGCTGAAAAGCAGAGAAATCTGAGTCCTGGCGATGTAAAACTGTCACATTTTAACATTTTAACATTTTAATATATCCTTTTTCTCATCTCGATGATCCATATTCGACGATACATTCAAAATTTTAAAACCAAAACATTCAGGGGGTGTGGTTCTTCAAGCAAAAATTGCATTTTGACGTGGTTACACCCCCAAAGTTTCAAAGATTGCACTTCAACGTGGTTACACCCCGAATTTTCTAAAATTGAATTTTGACTTGGTTACACCCGCAACGTTTCCAAAATTGAATTTTGACTTGGTTACACCCCCAAAGTTTCAAAAATTGAATTTTGACTTGGTTACACCCCCAAAGTTTCAAAAATTAAATTTTGACTTGGTTACTCCCCCAAATTTTACAAACCTAAATTTTGATTTGTTTACACCCTCAAAGTTTTCCCAAGTCAAAATTCAATTTTTGAAACTTTGGGGGTGTAACCACGTCAAAATGCAATTTTTGCTTGAAGAACCACACCCCCTGAATGTTTTGGTTTTAAAATTTTGAATGTATCGTCGAATATGGATCATCGAGATGAGATAAAGGATATATTGCTTGCCATGTTTTATTTATTGCAAATTAGGCGCCGAGAACCGCACCCACAAAGGGTGTGGTTTTTAAATTTTTAATAATCTTTAGGAATTGCGTCACCGAGGTGAAGAAATAAATACGTCAGGATTTAATTCACCTTACGCTAGGTGCCGAGAACCACACCCCCTGAGGGTGTGGTTTTTAAATTTTGAATTGTTTTTCATTACTTGCCTGCGGGGGCCAATAAGTTCAAATTTCCCTTGATAGGACAATTTTGAACAAGTAATTACTCTTTATAATTTTAAAAGTGCACTTACGTCTTTTTACTAGTTTTTTTTATGCACTTGCGTCTTTTTAAAATTAAACATCGAGTGCACTTACGTGGTTTTAAAATTAAACATCGAGTGCACTTACGTGGTTTTAAAATTAAGCATCGAGTGCACTTACGTGGTTTTAAAATTAAGCATCGAATGCACTTACGTCTTTTTAGAATTAGTGCGACGATATGTAACACAGGTAATGGGAAACCCGAACATAAATAATCTTGTCTCAATTTAATTAATTCCTACGTTACATACGTATTGATTCGTTGTAGATAAGAGCGTCACCTTATCTCTACTTAGAAACTCACTTAACACTTCGTTCATTTCTTTATAGCAGCTGGCACGATGCAATCGCTCGGATGTATGAAATGCAATGTATTCTGGCAAAGATCATCAGTCAGCTTTTTCGACAAATATTCTCAAAATGTTGCTCCGACTACTTTCCTTCGCCACGTGCCTCTACTTTACGGTTGGTTACGTTCAAGAAATAACATTCTACATGGATTCGTTACAAAGAAGTTATGAGAAACTCGAGATCATATTGCCTTAAGGGATAGTAAGTACATATTTACTTCTGATTTTTGGTCTACATTTATGTTGTTAATGTTGACCAAAAATATTGGCCATGACAAATAAAACGAAAGCAAAGACAATATTTGGCCATGCCTTGCTTTTATTTATTAATGTGCGATACTATATTAGGGTCGAATAAAATCACAACCTACCATCTAAAATCGCCCCCATAGGTTTATCGTTAAAATTTCTATTTTCAAACTTAGTTTGACCACCATTTTCTAAGAGGTAGATATGTAGGGCTTACATTTTTACCACTAGCGGTATGGACCCTAGTTAGAAAATACAAAATATTCTCAGTTCGTCTAAATTGGCTAGCAAAAAAATCCCGGAGCATATTTTTTGCTAGCTGATTTTTTTTGGATCATAATGCATCAATAAAAACAGCGTAGCCAGAACTAATCTATGGGGGTGGAAGCGAAAGCAACAGATTATATACGAAGCAACCATTCGATTTCGAACAATTTTTATTTTGGAATCCTACTCCTTGCCTTTAAAAAAATCAAGGGTGCAATATATGGTGCAATAAGGAGTTTCAACTTTGCAAAAAAAAAATTTCGCTCTTTCACAAAATGCTTTTTTTCTCAATTCCGCATTCGATTTCGAATTTTTTTTATAATATTTTTGCTTAAAAATAAAATCAAGGCTAACAAGGGAACCTTAACTACTGTCCCATCTCGATTTCCTTCGGAATAGCCTTAATCGATAGATAATTTAGTGAATCTAAAACTTTGTCATAGAACATGCGGTGCAAAATCACGTTTTCGCGAAATATTTGGCGAGAGCTGCACCAAAATCTGCCATTTTCCCTATGCTATTAACATGGCCACCAGCCTTTCGAATGATGAAATGAACTTTATGGAATATTGAAAAATTATATATGTACCCGTCCGCGTAATTTCAGCCCGATCACGAATATGCAAAAAGTGATGCAAACATTTGTCAATTTTTTACAAATTGCGAAAATATAAAAAATTTCGCAAATTTGAAGTCTTCGTTCCTTTAAATGCAACAAAATTTACAAAGTTTAACCTATGTAAAATACAATTTTCTTATTGCAAAAAATTTGCAAAAAATTTGCAAAAATAAATTTTGCAAATAATTTCGAAAAATACGTAAAAATAGACTAGCATTGGTTATTTTAACTAACTTTCATAAAAAGTTCGCAAATATTTGCAAAAATTGAAGTTCGCAACTTTTTATGAAAGTTAGTTAAAATAACCAATGCTAGTCTATTTTTACGTATTTTTCGAAATTATTTGCAAAATTTATTTTTGCAAATTTTTTGCAAATTTTTTGCAATAAGAAAATTGTATTTTACATAGGTTAAACTTTGTAAATTTTGTTGCATTTAAAGGAACGAAGACTTCAAATTTGCGAAATTTTTTATATTTTCGCAATTTGTAAAAAATTGACAAATGTTTGCATCACTTTTTGCATATTCGTGATCGGGCTGAAATTACGCGGACGGGTACATATATAATTTTTCAATATTCCATAAAGTTCATTTCATCATTCGAAAGGCTGGTGGCCATGTTAATAGCATAGGGAAAATGGCAGATTTTGGTGCAGCTCTCGCCAAATATTTCGCGAAAACGTGATTTTGCACCGCATGTTCTATGACAAAGTTTTAGATTCACTAAATTATCTATCGATTAAGGCTATTCCGAAGGAAATCGAGATGGGACAGTAGTTAAGGTTCCCTTGTAAGATAATTTTATTCTTGGCTCAAAAGAGTGAAAAAAAGAACGAAATCGCATCGCAATTGAGAAAAAAGCGTTTTGAGAAAAGAGCGAAAAAGCGATTTTTTACAAAGTTGGGAGTCTCTAACGTACATATGTACTTTGAAGATAAAAATCATATACGTCAGGAAAATAATGAAAAAGTTGAAAATTTTGGATTTTTAAGCAGAATGTCTTACTTAAGTACCTTATACATACATATATTGTGTGTTGTAGCGATACGAATTATGTATTTGTTTTTAATTTCTACAGCTGGCAGGGATTCAATGAGAATATTTACAAGTACTACACAAAACTGGATGGTTTTTCTTCAGATATGAAACTGCTCTGCAGGAATGAGACCCATCCTCCAATCTTGTCGTTGAGATTTATGGGGCCCCCGGAAACAAGAACACCTTCCATTTCAATTTATAGTGGAACCCCTTACAGTGCGATGGGAGGAACTGAACGGACTTTTCTCACCGCATCGGCGACGAATTTCGGATTTGTTCCAACTTTTCGGGTTTTGACGGGAAGGTCGAGTTGGACTGGGTTTGAGAACGAGGATTTTTCAGGAAACTCGACCTGTTTTTCTACATCGAGACTAATCGGGTATTCACCTTTGGATCCAGGAGTGGCGATAAGGTCATTTGTCCAAGGGTGTAACGCAACATATGGCAGCGAGTATATAAATGTGGATAAGATTTTCCAATCATAATTTGTTGACGAACGAAAAACTGGTAGCAGGATCATCAATGTTTCTTTTACCACTTTGTGGTATTTATCTTATGGTAATCAAATCTTTACAAGAGTAGATAAAAATTATGGCCAAATAGATAAAATGTCTAACGTACGTAAATAAAGTTAATTCTGGAATTCAAACTGTTGAAATTGTGGAATAAAAACTTTAGCATTTCACGTTTGTTACGGCGAAGAAACTATAAATGGTGAGTAGCAGGCAGCTTGTCTACTTCTAATTTTATTGGTCATTTTATCTACATCTATGTACGCATAAAATATGTCGCATGTATCTCTTTGCTAATTTTTGAATTGAAGTTTTGTTACACTGGTTTACATGCATGAATAAAAAAAGTAATAAGACTAAAGATGGTAACCCTAGCATAACATTGCACTGAAAATAAGCTACATGCCATGTTTTAACACTTTACATCCTACCTAAGCCATTACCTCTACCGTCTTTAATAACGTGAAATTAAAAATCTTAGCAACATTAACCTTAAAAACTAGCGTAAAGCTCAAAGGAACGTATCAAGTTGGTCTAATACCAAGACTGGTAATTCAAGTAGATTTTGAATAAAAACTGATCTAATATTTAAACCAATTAACAATTTGACCTAATTACTTAAATTATAATTATAAGGTTCGAAAAATTTCACAAAGAACCAAAATAATTTTGAAATGCAACAAATTAGGTTCGATCTCCCAACCAACCCAAGTGGACACAGACAAGTGAGATTTTACAAATATATAAAAGTTAAGACACAAAAACACTGAAATAGATGATGAACATCATGATGAAGGATTTTCGCACATTAGAAAGCTAGAGAAATCTGTTTTATTTATGTAACCTGAAGATGTAATTTAGGGCAATATGAAGCATTTGGGGTAATTTGACACTTCTCTCACCCATTTCTATTGAGCGCATGTATTTATGTACATCTCACTTTTTCTTATACGGTGCGTACCTTTTCAATGTTGTGCCAAAGTGTACGCATCTTTTACCAGTAGCTTCCAAGGGTAACGAATAACCCCACACCTCTCAATGTTAAACAGAAGGCCAAACCTACCAAAGGTGTGCGTGAGAATGAACCCGATCCTACAAAAACTTTAATCGATACGGCATTATTCAGAATTATATTTAGATTTATATGTACATACGTAAACATATGCATACTACATACATCCATGTTTTAATGAAAAACTCTAATAAATAAATACTTATCACCCTCCACAAAATTATATATATCAGAAAAACTCATTTATTTCTAAAGGTTGCCGACATGATTACTTCAGTAACCAATTCTGAGCGGAACGATGTCGACGCAAATTTGTTCCTGTTGTGCAACAAACCTAAACGTGAATCTACCAAATTAATCTTGATACTGTAAATCTTCATTCCACTAAAGCGTTGATCCAACCCTGGTTTAACAACTTATCCCCCAAACTCCTGGAACAATGTACTTTTTAAACAGCCACATTGTTCAGTTACACCAGTATTTAAATATATTTCAAACGTGCGTCCTCCACCTCATAAACTATCAAGGTATCCATATCCCCCCGGTACAATTCCCCTTAATTTTGTCCCGCCATGAAGTCATCTTCCCGCAAAGTATTAGCACCCGTGGTCCCAGTTTCTTCTTCGTCAGGAAAGATGATCCCCATCGATTCACTTATGAAAGCGACAACTTGTTAAACGAAACCCTAGAGGAATATAAAATTAGAACCAAGCGGTTCAAATTAAGCATCTCAGCACAACAAAGGAATTGGAATTGTCTCACCAGATTTTACATCTTTCCTCCCAAGAACTGGCCCCAACCAGATATCCACGAAGAAGATTTTTCCGTCGACCGAGTTGAAAATTTGTTCAATGCTTACGATCCGATTCGTGTGAATTGCTTTCCTCGTACCGGATATCATATTCTGATACCAAATCCGGTACTTGATTTTGACGAAGTAATTACAAGTTGGAGTTACCTGTTCAATAGATTACTCAGAAAAAATGAATTGCTTGAAATGCTAGTAACAAAAACCAAATTATCCCTCTCATCGGTATATTCTAGTGGACCGATTCAGATTCAAGTAACACAAATTCTCGCTTGCTGCCGGTACTGTGCCAGATTCTCTCCAACCTTTTTCAAGATCAGTGACACGAATGAACAGAAAATACCAAATCTCACGGAACTTCAACTCTTGACGAAAACCATTAACAGAAACGGATTTTCGGTTCCGATATATGTCGCCTCGAAAGGGTATGCGTCATGGACACACAACGACCTGGAAGCTGTAAGGAAAACGCGGTGATTTCAAATATCCAAGAACAATATTACTGCGACTCATCTTCTCCTGAATATCGTCACATCCGGACTGAATCGAAGTACTATAGTATTTAACCCTGAATTCAGTCAAAACTTGGACCCAGATTCAATCCTGGGGGAGAGTCCCAGACAAGATAGACGACCTACAGGAATTGGAAGCTACGAGTTCAATCCTGTATTTCCTAATATCATCACCCATTCACAATATGGCTACAGTCTGGTCATGGAAAGTAAAAGGTACGCGAGTAATTATGCTACTAATTTTCAAGTTCTAAATTTTAAAACTATTTAAAGGTACACTTTTACCTCCTGCGGGAAGCAGAGCGGTCAGACCAACTTGTTCAATTTATTCAACGCTTTTGACATCACGACCTGGGTTCTTATTGGCATCGTCAACATTTCGGTCGGATGTTTTGCACTGTTTATAATTTTCTGGGAGGAAAGTAATAAAAATAAAAATGTGGTTTCCCCTTTCCGTCACGATGGTTACCAAATGAAGCACTCCCATTGCAATTTTTCACAGTATATACCACGAATACTTGTTGGATTCAGACTTGAACTGGGGCAGGGCACTGACTCACTAGCGGATAAGGAATTGAGAAAATATTGGAAAGCGATCCTTCCCATGTTCCCCTTCCTTTTGGCAACAATTCTTCTACCAAACTCATTTAAAGGGGACAACATCAAAAATATAATTACACCCGATGCTGATGAACCCTTCAAAAATTTCGGTGAAGTTCTCCATAACAAATTTGTATTCTTCTCAAAGGAAATCCAAGTTAGTTATGGGAAGTTAGGTGCCTCCCGGGGTACAGAGTTCCACTATATCATGTCCGGATTACTTGGACCTACGCAAACCTATGTGTCTGAAATTGCCCCACAAGACTATCAGGAAATTACCTCTAACCTTCTGTCTCACACCAAATTGTACACCGGGAATGCAAAACAGATACTTTCAACGGCCATGGACAAGGATGGACTGCACTGCCCCAAGCTTGCCATGATCGGTTGGGTTGATGATCTTCGTTTAATACAAGAGGAATTTAATCTTTTGTACCAGGCAAAGTCGGGGATAAATGATAAGAAGATCTCATTTGTGCTAGGGCAGCAGTTTTTATTTACGCAGTTGGAAGGTTGGAAAATATCACATGTTGTGGACGACACGGTGCAGTGGAGGGTTCAGGATCTTAAGGAGTTTGGATTTCTGAATAAAATCTTGTGGTATCAGAATCAAAGCGAGTGGCTAAGTCGGCGAGGTGAGTTGAAATCGTTGCCGGTTGGACAGATTGCGATTAATAAAGGAGTTAAACTTGATAGCAATATGAAACACGTTTTTCGATATTTTTTCGTATTTGAGATCGGGATCTTCATTTTAGCCGGGGTTGCATTTATGGTAGGGAAATTAAATTTGATTTACTCCTATAAGGTATTTACCATTACATAGCTGCTTTCAATATTAACTTAATTAATTATGTTATATAGCCACAGTTTAATCCCCAACAAAAATGTTGCTTGGTTAAATACTTTATCCACTTATCTGATTAAGTCGACAATCTATTCATTTATAAGTTCGGAACGGTCGATGCTGTGTTGCGGATGCTAAAAAAATATTCTATAATTTCTGTCATATTATCCAATCATAATTACTACCAGTGGATCGATTGTGTCTAATAGTGGAAATGACGACAGAAGAATGTAATTGGATTTTTTAACTTCCCAAGGATCTAATCTAGTTTATATAAAGTAGTTACCTAGTTTAGTTATGAATGAAACTGAACGAAAGCTTATCAATATAATATGTAGTCCAAATAAAGCTTAATTTTTCTTGAAACAATTATTCCTCTGGAGTTTATTGTCGCTACTTGCTTGACTGCTAGAATTTAGCAAAGATGTGGACAAATATATTTGGCTATTTTCACATCTTCTATCTTCTGAAGACGTGAAAGTGGGATATACATACATGTTAAGTATTTTTCTATTTTTGCTCAACATAAGCAAAAAATGGTTTGATCCGGGATGGGGCTCATCCAAATTCAACTGCTCGCCATCCAGGAGTAATTTTTCTGAACTTCCTACTACATTAAACAACCGACTAGCTTGTACCATGTAGTATTCAAACTGATTTGTCTCGATACTTGGCGCAATTCCCCCAGATTTTCCAAACTTTCAGAAGCATCGTTTCCACCGTTCCTAAATCCACATGCATTATTTTGGAAAAATTAAAAATTTGAAAGAGTTTATAATTTTAATGAATATCAAAAACTGGCAAAAAATTTTGAAATTCAAATTTCAAGACAATTGGATTTTTCATAAGTCAGGCAAGTCATTCTGAAGAGACATGTTCTCGAATTTTTTGATTCGCGCTAAAATTCGAAAATTTACTGAAATTTTAATAAACCGTTGCAAACGAAATGTAGCAAAAGGGTGAAAATACACGGAATTGTCTTTGTGGCACGCCCACAACGTCTTTCAGCACTTTCCTGTCATTGTCTAACATTACCCCACGTCTCATTTTGCCCCATTTTGACACCCCCACCCGCGTAGTTCAAACGTACACGACAATACCTTTCAATAGACACCCCACATGACAAATTCATTTTTTCGACATTCGACACCTCCCACACGGTCATGGAGTCGTCGCACGTCGAAATGATGGCGATTTCTGAAATTCCCGTCAAAAAATACGTCTAAAACGGTGGCGACAAAAAATTCGACAATTTTCGACTTTGGCGTCATCACCGTGGCGCCGTGACCTTACGACCTACAACGCCCATCTTCCAACTCATCCCGTCCCCAAAAATTAGAAACACGTTGGCGAAAACCGGATGCCGAAATTCGAATCCGTTCTAAAGTTATCGTGGATACGGACGGACGGACGGACGGACAGACAGAAAGACGGACAAGACATTTCCATAAAGGGGTTTTCACCCCTTAATAATCGAGGTTTTGGCTGAAAATGTTTTAAAATTCGCGCCTCGAGCTCAAATTAGCGCATTATGAAAAATGAAAAAATATGGGTATGTTTATTTTTTGTGGTGAACAAAATAAAATTGGTCCCATTAAGATCTGAGTTTTACACGTAAAAGCCTTGCATTGTGAGTGATGAATTGATATTTGACTACATAAATGCATAGTTTTTTTTTCTGCTTGCGTTTTTCTTAGAATGTTTTGATAAAGGTATTATTTTTGCTATAATGCAAATGTTTGAGAATGTATTTCTTCTTTAATATTCAGGGATTTTGTTTAATATGTAAATCTTTACTAAAAGAGAACCTAAGGATAATTTTGAACATAAATAATTCCCATAATATTGTTATTTGGAGCAAGAATTATACGATTCAACAACGCGTTCCAGCTCTAATGTTATTTGAATCGAGTATTTTAAAATGTGGCTATGGTCAGTGTGTGATGATAAAACCAAATCTTTGGCGGGGCAATTACCCTGAGGGTATTAATTCAAAGAATTCGAAAATTCGGAACGTTAAATTTCGATTTTGAAAATTCGTTACCTTTATATTTGTTACCTTTAATTAAATGAAGTTTGGATGTTATTACCTTTAAAAATTCTAAATTTTTAACTTAGCAAAATTGCACAACTAGATTTTGGGAAAAAAATTCCTTCCTGTTGGGGGCAATAAACTATTGAGGAAGGAAATTTTTTCCCAAAATCCATTTGTACAATTTTGTTAAGTTAAAAATTTAGAATTTTTAAAGTAAATAGCATCCAAACTTCATTGAATATTAACGCCGAAAAGTTCATTTTAAGTTCTCCATAAGGATACATGACACATGGGGCAGAATGAGACGGGCGGGAATGACTCATGGATGCTTGCCTTAATAAAAAGAATCGGACGGTCTATCACACCTTTCTGAAAATACATAAAAGTTAGTTTCCTTCAGTACATCCATAAATATAAAATATCTGTACCTATATTATCTTTAATTGATTTTTTTCGACTAGATTATACTGACAATTTTCTACATACTGACGAAATTAATTAGCATTATTTTACTTTGCTAGCAAACAATTATGTAGTCTGTATTCAACTCTGTGACATGCAAAGCTTTACAAGTTTTTTGCATAATAAAATTTGAGAATCAATCTACGAAATTGGTACATATGTAAGCAAAGCAAACACGCCATTCTACCCGAGCATCTAATTAATTAGAGAAGAATCCATTTCGAGTTAAATATTTAGTTTTATAACTTGAAGTGGCTTCTAGATATATACAGGTTGATCTTCAGCAGTTGAGTACATACGTAAAACGTTGGGTAATTTTATTTTGCTTTGTTGTACACCTAACTGATACATAAAAATTTGTATGTGGGCAAAACTTTTTTAAATTCCTAAAACCACTAATGTTCCTTTTTCTTCCGTCTGACTCTATTAGACGATTATTAATATTTGGTTTTACATATTCGCATTTTACTTCCTTGTAACAATAAAGACGAATGGTTTAATTAGCGTAACATATATTAATTATTCCTCTACTGTACCAGTTTGCCTGTTATTGTTCATCAGATAAGTGATCTTTCTATATATTTGCCAGCCATATACTTGAATACTTCAGTCAATATTTGCTCTTGTAATTTGTCTAAATCTGTCAGATCACAGTGACTATAAGTCACAACTCCTACCTGTTTTGTGTATAAATCGAAATTGGTTAAACACTTAAAATGTTGGCTGCATACCTTCATCTCTTAACTTTATTTGTAGGTGCACTTAACTCCAGTCCTACCACAAAACCAACCGATGCATATAATTTGTCCTCCTTGCTAAAGAATTTAACTGATTGTGACATACAAATTATTGAGCCCGGAAAATACCGGAACAAATTCTTCTTCGCTGATTTAAACCTCGTATTTACCTCTATTTTCTTGCCAAACTACGAATTTGGACATTATGTAACTATCCAGCGAGCAGGGGTCATACCTGCAATACACATTTTTAAAGCTCGCATTGCCAAATGTAGGCTGACTTTTATTTTGTACGACGCAGGCAACAAGGTGCCTCCTCACATCGCCATGTTTCGTATAATACACTGGATATTGATCGCTTCAGGATATAATCATTATTACCGACCTCCCAACAACCATGGGTATGATGCTTTTTTACCCAATATCAACGCAGTAATTACCGTTGTCACGGATACGACCGCATTGCTGCCGTATTTTACTCAACAGGGAGTTGACACATTCCTCCGCGCCTTGTTTTACTATTTCTCTGTAATTTATTCAATACCAGGGCAACCCATGGAAACCTGTTTCCCCTTGGAAACCCGATTTCAGTCTAATATGACGCTATCCATGTATTCAAAAATGATATGTCGTCCACTCGAATCAGGAAAGCTCCTTTCAACAATTGAAAAGTTCGGGGCGCGGGAAACATGGTGCAGTGTGAGAAGGCCTGAGCAACCACAGTCTACAATGGATAGGGTATCTCAATTATCAGTTAGTTACTTATGGTTCGATATTTTCTCAAAGACTAATATAAGTTATACGAATCAAGATTGTCACATGAACCGACAAATAAAACTTTTCAGCGCGGAAAGTAAGGAACTTGAAGTAATTCATGTAGCACATGTTATCACGTATAATGAGGGGTATCAATTCCTAACGTGCCATTCGGAACCCTACATTACATTCGCGTTCTATTTTTCACCTTATCAAAGCGAACTCTGGATCGTTTTGGGTATCACAATTGTTACAATTATCTTACTAACGACCATTGTCCATCATTTTCATGATCGACTGAATAAGCACTTATTCTCCCCGTGGTTGTTCATGTTAGCATCGCTGTTCGAAGAGGGAGGATCAATGCCTAGTATGGTTGAAAAGGCTACCTTTTTTCGCCTCGCTTTTGGCATTTGGAGCCTCGTGTCTGTAATTCTGACAAACGGGTATAACGGAATTATGATTTCAGACTTGAATTCTCCGCGTGAACTAGCACACCCAGAAACGTTTGACCAGCTGCACTGTGAAAAGTCATTTGAACATGTATTAGAATTCCTTCGATTGGAAAAGTACGGACTTCTAAACAAAAACAAAACATTCCCGCCAAACATTCATGAAATTGCGTGGATAGAATTTAGTTCATTTCATTATTATTTACTTGCTGTATCCTTACATGACCCATCTTTCGATACTGGTCCTGTTGACATTAATGTTACCAATGTGTCGGATAAGTGTTACAGATTGTTATCTTCAATAACGCCAAACACCGGAAATCTCGCATTACCACAATTTTTAGCTGCTCTATACAAGGTAGGGTTTGATTTCCTAGGTGCATATTCGGCTGACGGCCTTTACAAAGTTGTGTTTAAAGACTTGAATCTTTTCACGCCAAAGTATTCCTTCTATCCAAAGGGATTCAGCTATTTGAGTGAAAATTACACAACTTCATGGATACGAGGACAAATTGAAGGGGAGATTATTGAATGCGGGAAGACCGTATTTATAGCAAAATCCTCGGATCTTAGACTCGAGTATGAATTTCTCTCAAATAAATATCCAAACATAAAATTCTTCACTAGTTCTCAAGTGGTGCAAAATGTTCCAAGTGGTATACTATTTAGACATCCGTGGAAGTCCGTAGTTATAAAAAATTTTATAAATGTGGTAGAATACGGAATTTGGACCCACGTAGACAAAGCAGAAAAAGGAAGGATTAACGGACAGCGGTCACCTGTTCTAAAACAATCTGCACGGGATACACCTGTAAATATTGCTACGCTAGTGGGCGCCTTGCCAACGGTTTTTATTCTATCTGGTGGCTTGGTTACTGTTGCAATTCTGGTTTTTAGCGTAGAATGTCGGGCACGAATATATTTGCTAATTGGTCGTATTCGTCACACTATGGTATTCAGAATTTATCGAAAGTTTAATCAACTAATGGTAACATCTGTCCGCGATATCGCTCAAGATGTTCGTTAAACAGATAAAAAGCGTTAGTATTAATTTAAATTTAATTTTAACTAAATTGTGTCCAATGAGTCAATTAGCTCTTACCCCTAGTGAGTACTAGTGCTTATTAACTTATTAAGGTGGTATAGTATGCGGGTTTTGAGTTTGAATTGTTTTGTCTCAACTTTCCCTTCTTCCATACATTCAAATGACGATTTTGAAACCTCATCATTTCCGTGATTTTTTTGCAATATGAAAGCTTTAATGCACCTAAAAATCGATAATTTTTAGGTTTACAAAGTTAGGCTGGTGTGATTTTGATTTTTTTCTTCCATTTTTTGGCACGTTTACGCTCGGGATCGATTTAGGAACGAGCTATTCTCGGTGAGTGGACGTTCTTACATAAATTGTGTGACGTATAAATAAATCTACATACATACATTTTATAAATATGTATACGTACCTATGTCTTTTGTATGTATGTATGTCTTCATTGCATAAATGGCCAGTAGCCCTTTCAAATCATCAACTTTGATTATTTACAGGATTTAAGAAAATTAAATATGTATATATGTACAATTTTGAAAAATAATGAAACCCTTTAGATAAGTCCGCCATGAATTCAGTTTACCGACATAAACTCTACTATTTAAATCCAGAGTAAAGCCTAGTACTCAGGACGAATTTTTCGCGTGAAAAATTTTAGCGAAAGAAGAAACTTTAACAGTAACATTTTGGAATTGACTTGAAGAAACGTAATTCCTGCACGCAAAACAAAAATTAGTCAAATCAAAACCGTCCGTGTCAATAACCGCCTTGGTTACAATTGTGATTCCGAGTGATAATGAAATGTTTCCGTTCGGTCATCACATTATAACTACCGGTATAAAAATCATCATAACTCGGAATCAACATTTTAACCAAGGCCGTTAACTCATATATTGACACCGGCGGTATTGATTTGACCAATTTTTCTTTTGAGTGTGGAAAGGAATTGTTTATTATAAAACAAATATCGCATGAAATATCCGACCTGGGTGCCGGGCTTAATTTTAATTTGAGTAAAGTATACCGTAAAGTTTGGTCTGGATTTAGTCCACCTTTTAACTTGCATTCATGTATGGTCTAGATATTGAAATTAAGCCAATTTTCACACCAATGAGCCTAATTTTAAAGCCTCGACTAAAAAACGTGTGTCAAATTTGCCCCACAGCGTCGGCGTGTTTCGGAACGGGCGTGTCGAAATAATTCCTACCGCCGAAGGAAATCTGAACTTCCCCTCGTACGTGGCCTCCACACCGGAAGGGGAACGACTGATCGGCGACGCGGCAAAAGTTCAGCTCACGGGAAATCCACGAAACACCGTGTTTAACGTGAAACGTCTCATTGGTCGGAAATGGCGAGATCCAGAAGTTCAAGCTGATATTAAAACGTTCCCGTTTGAAGTCATTGAAAAAAATGAGAAGCCTTGCATCAAGTTTGGAACGGATAAGAGTTTTGCTCCGGAAGAAATATCGGCCATAATTTTGGCCAAGATAAAGGAAACAGCAGAGACTTATCAAGACCAGAAGATTACCCACGCCGTGATAAGTGTCCCCGCTTATTTCAACGATGCTCAGAGGCAGGCAACTATCGATGCCGGTATGTCATTTTGAATGGGTGTGGTGGCACTCAATTTGGAAATTTTTATTCAATTGTGTACAAACCAATTGTTTCATGTAATTACTGACAATTCAGTCTTTTTTCAAGCTAAATCTAGCGAGTCATACCAAAAATTTTAGCCAAAAATTAGTAATCACGTGACACTCAGATTTCCGTCGAATGGTCAATTTGAAGAAAAATATCGGCGGCGGAGTTCAATTTTCGAGTTAATTTGCTCTCACTTTTTCCAGAAAACCAAGGCGGCCGCGTGGCTTTGCCCCCCAAATATTTTTTGGCAAATGGTCATTTAACGGGAATATGATTGTCACGTGATTCCTAATTTGGGTGTGATTCAGGTGTGATTGCTGGATTAATCGTGACCCGTTTGATAAACGAGCCCACGGCTGCCGTGATTGCGTACGGGCTTGATAAACACGGAGGAGAAAAGAATATCTTGGTTTTTGATTTGGGTGGGGGCAAACTGGACGTGTCCGTGGTCTGCATTGATCACGGGGTTGTTTTCAAAGTGGTCTCCACTAATGGGGATACTCACCTGGGCGGGGAGGACTTCGACCAGAGGGTCATAGACCATTTCATTCAATTGTATAAGGACAAGGGAAAGGATGTGAGAAGAGATGATCCGTAAGTGAGAAGAACTTGATGACTCGAGTCGTGCATGAATCCGACTCGAAAAAAATCTCAAATCCATATTTTGAGCATTCCATTCTCGAATCTGAATTCTTATTTCAAAATAAGAATTCAGATTCGAGAAAGCAAATGCTATCTCGAATCCGACATTTCTCGGTTCGACTCTGGCTTTGTCCTGATTCATGGGGCACTGCTTACATACAATGCAATGAGTCATTGGGCATCCAAGACCGGTTTTTCCGATTTTGAAAAACCGGTTTTATCACACTCGAAAACCGGTTTTCGATTTTTAATAAAAATTATTTTAGATCTACAAAATATTAGTTATTTCATGTTTTTCATACAAAAATAAATTTTTCTGAAATATTTTTTTCCCAAATGAATGCCCAAAGATTCTTCAACTTTATATTTTATCACATTATATTTAACGTCTTTTTAAAATTTTGTAAAAAACCGGTTTAAAAACTGGTTTAAAACCGGTTTTACGAAAATTTAAAAAACCGGAAAAATCGAAAACCGGTTTTACGAAAGTTTTCCAAAATCGGAAAAATCGAAAACCGGTTTTTCAAAATTTTCCGATTCTGGATGCCCTAGCGATGACGCTACCGGTCTCGCTCCGAATTTGTCGAAAACACGATGATTATGTAGCTTAAGATAAATAATTAATCACGTGTTTCACAATTTTTCATAGCGAAATTATGATATAAAACATTAGCGAGAATTCCCATTTTCATTTTGAAACTTCTCTCGCAAGGGAGAAAAATGAAAATTCTCGCTCACATTTTCCATCATACATAGCTTCGTTAAACCTGAGCGTTATGAAAAATCCTGAAAAACGTTTTTACTTATTTACCTTTAGCTACATTATTATTGTGGTTTCGTCATAATCGGAGCGAGACCGCTGGCATCATCGCATTGTTCGTACAAACTATTTTTTAAAAATTGCATCCATATAATTCACAGAAAGGTTCAAAAACTTCGTCGCGAAGTGGAACGGGCGACACGCACTTTGTCCTCCACTGAAGCAATTCTTATAGAAGTTGAATCCTTTTTCAATGGTGAAGACTTTTCAGCAACTTTAACCCGAGCAGAATTTGAGAAACTTAACATGGACCTGTTCCTATCCATGATAACACGGATACGCAAAGCATTACAGGATGCCAACATGCGGAAGGACGATATCGCTGAAATTCTCCTGGTCGGTGGGGCTTCCCGTATGCCGAAAATTTGGGAATTAGTTAAAGACTTCTTTAATGGGAAGGAGCCAATCAGGGGAATCCATCCTGATTTAGCCGTGGTTAATGGACTCGCATTTTGCGCCGGTAAGGCTCGAATTTGTGCAAATCGATCACAAATTTAATTCAACAACCTCTTAAGGTGCAAGTTTGGCCGAAATATTTGCGTTGAAAGTGGGTAAAATAAATCTACAGATTTTTCACTTATGCCGCAATTTCTCCTCTTCAGATGCAAATATCTCGGCCAATCATTGGGAGGTTGTTGAATTAAATTTATGATCCATTGACACCAATTTAGTCAAAAACGAGCAGCACACTCTGGGAATCTGTGTCATGTAGGGGTACATGTGTATTTAATAACGGTAAATACGGTAATAACGAGTATTACCTAATAGTAATATTATTTTAGCAATGAAGCACTTACTACTCAGAAACAAATTTCTACCAGTCCGGTAAAAAGTTATTAGTAACCGATGCGTGGACTGGACGTAATGTACATATGTATATCACTACCTGATTTTTAGCAGTGTACACTCTTGAAAAACAATTTATCAAATTATTACTGACCGATGAGCATGCATACATACATATTCCCTGGCCGGCATGGTAGTAACGGGAATTACTTACAATGCGATGGTGTGAAGTGTAACCCTCCGATTTGATTCCAATTTTGAAATTATGCGGTCAATGTACATACAACCAACATTTCTTGAGGCAGTTTGTGCGATGGTCAGAATTTGTCAAAATATTTTAGGTCAAAGTTGAAAAACGGGCGATTTTTACCAAGCGGAGGAAGCAAACTCCATTCCCATGGGCAAAATCGCTCATTTTTCAACTTTGACCTCAAATATTTTGACAAATTCTGACCATCGCGCAAACTGCCTCAAGAAACGTTGGTTGTATTGACATTGACAGCATGGTTTCAAAATTGTAATCAAATCGGAGGGTTACACTTCACATCATGGCATTGTTAGTAATATTGGTAATGCAAAATTTACCTATTACCAGACAAAATAAACTATTACCCCCCTGTAGGAAGCTGTTACCAGTACTCTATATGACTTTGCCACATTTTTAATAGTAACCCTTTTGCTAGGACGATATTCTGATGAGCTGGATACCGGATATTTCGTATTCCTGGACGTAAATCCCTTCGCCCTGGGGATCGAGACCGTTGGTGGCTCAATGTCGAGAATAATTCTAAGAAATACTCTAATTCCTGTCAAGAAATCGAAGAGTTTCACTACTTCCAGTAAGGATCCCGGGGTGATTTTAGTGTACGAGGGAGATTCGCAAATCGCCAAGGAGAACCATTTCCTCGGGAGATTCGACATCCCAGCCGCCGAGAAAGTTGGAGAGGAGCGAGAGATTGAGGTGATCTTTGATATTAATTTTAGTGGAATTTTACACGTTCGTGTGCTGCAGGGTTCGGTAAACATAAAAACCAATCCCGTGGGTTATTACGAGGTTTTTGGGGTTGTTTTCTGGCTTTGTGTTTTTTGGGGTTTTTCTAAATTTCGTGGTAATTGATCGTGGATATACATGAATAAACACTTTATATTTATCTACTTCTTTATTCTATATTTATTTAAATGCTTTAACAGAAATTTGTGGTAAGAAATAAATTATGCCTTGCTTGGTTGCATCGAACAGAACTAACACTTGACATAAATGAATACAACTTCACTCCGCAGTAGATCCTTTGGTTGGGCGCTCTGAGTTAAGAGGTCGGTAAATCATGCATAGCTTATCTACCCCAATTCTACGTCGAGTATCAGTCATAATCGACCCCATTGTTGAGATGCATCGCTCCACGGCGCAGGGAGATGCAGGAAGTATATAGTGTACAAAAATTATCTGACGGTCCCAAAAAAATCATCCCACCTGCCACAAAACTTGTCAGAACTTTCTTGTTGTTGTGTTCTCGGTACTAATTTTTTCTGACAATGTCTCTCAGACGTTTATGTTCAAATGTGGGAAAAATTATAAAAACAACCTCACGTTTAGATGAAGGAGAATTCGTTTCATAAATTCCTCAAAAATTTTGGGTTCCCTGACATACTGTCAAGTTGTGGAGGAACCGGAAGCCATCCAGAGACCCAATTCTTCTTGGACGACCCACAATAACCTCAGCCATAAGTTTGGACATGATTTTGAAAATAATGTCCCGAAAATCTGCAAGTTCGACCATAAAGCGTAGTGGTCCTAAATCGCGCAGATCGATTTTAACCATTTTTGGTAGGAAAGCTGTCGTTCCATTATCCAGAATCAGGTAAAACCAAGTGAGTAGGGTCACTTAGCTTTCATGAGTCCCAAAACAACGCATTTTCGAACAAAAACATTCAACATCGACTAAACTTTAGCAAATTTCTGAAGCAAAACGGCTTTTTGACTGCTGTCGAAAAGGGTGGAGAAATTTTATGTACGCAAAAGACCGGAATGAATGGTCATCATGTGGCGAATCCTCACTATACAAGGTACCAAATTGTGAAGAGAAATGAGGTCCCCGATAAGAAGCTTCAAAAAAACTGACTACCATTGATGGGTTGTGGTTGGCTCTGCAGTCTTGGCGCCACCGAGCTGCACATCAATTTTGTTTGTCAAAATATGGTCGGACAGTTTTCGGGTAGCCACATCTGGCCAATGTACTTCGATACTATGCAAACTACCAAACTTTTTCCAAATTCGAAAGAAATTTTGTATTAACAGGATGGAGCACTAGCCCATGCTTCAAATGCTACCACTCGCTTTTTAGACAAGAGGTCGCTTATCATCTTGAGGAAGTGGTTGTAGCTCGGAAAAAGCCCGAACACACACCGAGGTGAACATTTATTGCCTCAACTTAAAAGCAATGCGTTGAACAAACCAGTTCCACCCGATTGTGCTTCGCTGACTGAACTTTTAAGAACAACTTTGAAAAAAATTCCAAAAACTGGACCGTTTGGAAAATCGATCATAAATTTTCAGGACAAGATTTCAGGACATGCAAAAATCGTCTGAGGACACACCAAATAGTGTTGTATTACATGATATAAACGATTTCGTCAATAAAAATTTCCTCACGCCAAAATTCCAATAGTTGGAAACTGTACTTTGGACCGTCAGATAATTTTTGTACACCATGTAGCATTAGTTTTTTAGCGAGTGTTGCAAATCCTTGGTTAACAATTTTATTCTTTGTATTTTTTGGTGCATCGCCATAGATATTTATGTAAATGAGTATATTTAGTTTGAGTTTATATTTGGCCGATTATTTGACCAGTCATAGGTATTTGCGGAGTATATAATTAATAAACTATTTTCTATCCACTAGTATTGAACTTGTACAGAAATTGAGAATTCTTAAAAACTACATCAATCTGAAATTCCTCAATCAACAGAAGTAAAATTCTTCTGAGACTGACATTTTCGTAGTTTCTCAAAATTCCCATTTCTCTCAAAGTTCGATCCTGTTTGGATGCAGTATTATGAAAAAAAGGTAGGTAAGTATTCCCCATTATACACATACTGATAAATATGTCAGCAAAACTGGTCGGGTATTTACATATCCCACACCTTATTCAGTTGCAGAACTATTTGCATATATTATTATGCAACATGTGGGACATGTGCGAGACGTGGTGGTGTGAGGTTGCTCTCTTCGAGACTCTTTTCGACTATATTCATAAGTGGGCGTATTTAATTAATTACGAAATAATTACTGCCTTGAAACTACAAATTTTGTCTTGTCAATTAAGTTTTAAGAAATTACTGTTTGTGATATCTGAACTGTTTCAACCGGTTTGTTTTATCCATATTGTATCGAAAATTTGGACTCGAAATATTACATTTCAGCTGGTGAGAAATTTATCCCATCTCAAGTTGAGTATGTACATACGTATTTTGTATTTGTAATGGAACTTATTGCATTGTGAAAATTGTGTAATGCAACTACGTCGTGTCACTCTAATCTTCCCTGGCTGCCATCCTGCAAAACTGCTGAGGATTTTTGGGTGTGGTGGGGATAGGGACGCCTTGCCTACCACATCTCGTCGACCTTGAGGGGACGCCCAAAGGGTCAACCGCTGGGAACCATCGGGTCTCTTGGGACGCCCGGTTGCACCCATGGAACCTGGCATTCATAATTGCTGTTGGAAGCTGGGGGTAGAACATTCTTGCTGTTGTCACTATATTGGGATTCTGCTCTCGCCATGTATGGAATGTGCTGACACCGCCTGGACTTACGCCCTCAATTATATACCTAACTTGACTATGTATTTTTGCAAAGAGCGATTACACTGAAGTTATGAGCAACCGAGCACCACCACGTCGCTTCGCTGAGGAATTTTGCACTGGTTATTATTAAAGCACAAGTCTCGAGTTATGGTGTTATATATATTATGTACGTTGTAATGTTATAACATATTAAGATCTTGTAACTGTATGCTGTTATTGTACTGGTATGATGTTATTTTGTCACATTGTTATGTAGAATTTTGGTAAGATTTGAAGCAGATTGGAGCACCTTGTCACACAGAATTTTGTACTGTTTAACATGCTAACGGACGACAGGTACGGCGGCTCGAAAAAGTTATTTGCTATGAAGTGGTTTGTACAATTACGTTGCTAAAGTAGAGCTTTTTGCCAGTATCTAGTTTGAAGCTGTATGATGAACTAAATTTCTGTTATAACGCATCGACTTTTACATGAGTAGTTGGAAATTTGTAATTGACAAAATGCAATTCGTTATACTGCTGTTATGATGTTATGTCGTAAATTGTTAGTTGGAGATTTGTAATGGATACAATGTAACCTGTTATATCGTTAAATCACGCTGAGTTAACTTGTAATTCTATGGGCCATGAGCCTTGTAAGAATTATTCATTGAATAAATATTACATTATTATATTATATTATTATTATATGCAACATGTTTATTATCCGAAACTTATTTTAATAATACTACACATTTTCGATAAAATAGAGTAAAACTAGCTCAAATATGAGCACAAAACACCCACAAAGGCGTCTAATATTTCGCAATGAGTTGACCTCGTCTCACTAAAACTAATTTCATCACATCCCACAACATTTTATCTGTTTCATGTGAGTTCTCATCTCATTTCGGGCCATCTTAAATCTCATCTCAAACTCATCTTCACATGAGATGAGATGAGGTCATCTCACAGGCAATAAATTTATTACCAATATTACCATGGCCGTAAATACAGTCATAGTTTAATTTACAGCACATTAGATGAGACATCGAGACTGGCCTCTCAAGTTCACCATTTATTAAAGGGTGAAGCGAAGCGAAATCCCTTTATACAAATGCTTTTCTGTCCGTCCGTCTGTTTGTCCGTATCCACGATAACTTTATGACGGATTCTGATTTCGACATGCGGTTTTCGCCAACACGTTTCTAATTTTTTGGGACGGGACAAATTCGAAGATGAGCGTCGTACGTCATAAGGTCACGACGCCACAGATTTTTTTACTTCGCTCCTTTTAGACGTAGTTTTTGACTCGGATTTCAAAAACGACATGGCTTTGACGTGTGACCGTGTCGCGTCACTCCTTTACTACATTTCGTTTGCAAAGGCTTATTACTTTACCAAAAATATAAAAACATTCATAATTTATCCTGGTCTTGTTGCGCTCCGTAATGGTTGTAGAAATACACTAAATATATAATTTAACATACACATTATCTCGCCATTTTCATCGACTACATGCAGGCATAATATTCTGTAAGCACTACCTTGAAAACACGGATGGCGACTGCTTTGTTTTGGAATATGAAATCATGCCAATGTCAACATTATCAAAATGGTATCAATCTACATGTACATAATACTCCATTTATTTAAATAGTATGGCAACATAAGAATTAAAATGAAGTACCCTTTCGGAATAAGATACACTCTGTGTTAAACTTTTAATGACAATGTGTCTGTTCTGTCAAAATATTCCCAAGGTATCAATGTGCTTGTGTTTATGCATGGTACTATGAGTTATCATAGACAAATACGGAAATATGTAAATTCACCGCTTCAAATTCAACCCAATTATTATTTAGAATACTTAACAAGTGAATAAACGAGACACTGCGTAAAAGCCTGAACTTATTGCCTTGTGTAAAGGAATTTTAGTTAAAAAATAATCGCTACCCGTTTTCCATGAATAAGCTGAAAACACAAATCGTTCCTACCCCTTATTTAATATTGATGAAAATTAAATATTAGTTTTACACAACACCATTTTCATTTTCCTGGAGTACATATCTACAAAATATCTAATTTACAAAAGTAGATCAACATTTGGTCAGAAACATTGTATGGGTCTCAAATATCTGATGTACAGATGTGCCTATTTATACAGTCAGCGTTCTCTTTAAAGCTAAGTATTTTGTAATATTCACGTCATAAAGAAAAAAGGCCGAACCAATTTATCTTCAGCCTTTGTGCAGAATGGTTCGGAAATACGGTAAACAATATTAAAATAAAAATCAACACTGTGCAATGCACAGTGTGCATTAAACAATATAATTTAATTGTTGTTTTGTGAAACACTATACAGGTGCTGATTTCGCTGCACATTCCAGAGGGACAACAATAATTAATTGAATTTAAAGGACCTGTCCCGTTATAATTTAACTTCAGGCTAAAATCTGCTAAAAATAAATAAAAGAACGCCCATATATTATGTCATCATTTTAGTGGGTGGGTGGTTTCGATTTACTTAACTTTTCCATGTTAAAATTCCCTATCGCTAAATTTTACGTTGAGTGGGTGGGTGTTAAAAATCAAGAATTTTTGATGACGTAATATATAGGGCGGTATCCAATACAGTCACCAGACGGTCCAAGGCGACTTCGTGCCGATAAAGGGGTCTGGCGGTGACTAATCCGGCAAAGACAAGTCGGGCGACCTCATCGAGGGTCTCTTGTAGGCCAAACGGGGAAGGGTGTGTGGACCAGGCGTGGCTCATGCTGATCCACTGGTATTTAGTCCGTCTCGACCCAGTCAACCATCCCCATACCTGAATTGACATGTCTGACTCCCTGTGATATTTCGATATGCGTAAAGTTTGGGCTACCTCAGTTAAAATCCGTACACCTAAAATTCAATAGTATAAGTGTATACTTACGTAGCCAACCCCAGGGGAGCCACTACGGACGCTAGGATTGACGACTTGACGTCTGTGTATGCACGTGGTCGACTCCCTTGGTCCGCGGATCGCCCGACTTGAGCGAAGCTAGATAAAATCCCCACGCTGAGCTTGGAGGCACCTTCAGGTTTGTAAAGTCGGCGAGCGAGACAAGGTCCTTTGCATAGGTCGTGAAGACTTTCAGCGACAACCTTGGGACGCCCTTCAGTAGTGTGACCAAAGTCGCTCTTCTGATTCCGGACATCACACATATGACCGTGGTTCCGGCGAACTGTTCGTCCGCGGAATTTAGGTAGCGCCGCTGGTTCTTCCTAGACACTGCATGTCCTAGGAGGGCCTCGAGTAGATCCTTAACCAAGGTGTTAGAGCTTGATAGTGACAGGTCGATGACCCGTCCGTTGTGTCGCACGAGCGCAGCTCCCTGGACCGCTTCTGGGATGGAGGAGAACAAATACACTGGGAGAGAGCTCATTGTGCTCCTTTAATTGTCACCGAGAAAGCTGATTTGACTTGGAGGACTGGTTGGATTTCGCCAAACCCGAGGGAAAGTAGTCGGGTGGAGGGAGAATCTGTGATACCGCCAAATTGGCTCTTCCCAGTCTAAGCCACACTCGCCATATACATGCGCTCCCCCCTATCTCAGAGTTAGATTGGGCAATTGACGGAGAGAGATCTGGACCCAAAGATGTCTGAGACGTCACTTCTCTTCTGCCGGGCATGAGAGGAAGTGTCAGCGGCACAAATTCTCTCTCCATCAGCTGCCCATTCTAACTCTGAGATAGACCGCTCTCATCTACTCAGCACTGATCCTGAGCGTACTCCCAAGTAGTCTTCTCTCTCGAGTCACAGTTTTGTCTCCACCCGACGACTTCCATCGTGTTACACCTTCTTAACCCGGCTCGAAGATTAATCATTTCCAGGGAAGTAATAAATGACCTATTAATGTCTTTTGTTGTTAATCACACCAATTACCTATTAACTCTAACATAAGTTCATGCTCACCCGCACAGCGATCACGGGCACCATCGACTTACTTGACTCAGAGAGTCTTGATATCCGCAGCGTTCTGCACACAAACATGCTTCTGGTAACCGCGATTACGAACAAGCCTGTTACGTTAAGCCTCTAGTATACGCGTTTACGAACTAGCCTCTAGTATACGCGTTTACGAACTAGCCTCTGGTAAACGCGGTTACGAAGCGTATAAGAACCACACTCTAGTTAATGAGGCCGAACAGTTACGCTGTCGAACGGTCCTAAACGCTGAGCAATGGGTGCTTGGTCAAGGCGTTGCCGAGCGAGTGTGGGTGTAGTGCATTTACGGATTACATAAAGTACTCCTGGTCACGCATGGATGTGTGTCGAGTACAAAGTGCGCGGATCGGGCTCGGGATTAATATTTGTTTATTAGTCGTAGCGTTCACCCCGCAGAGAGATAAATAGAGACGACATAAACTTCTAAGCTTATAAGTTTATTGGCCGGTTGGGGGCCATGATTTAGTTGATCTCCCTCCCCGTGAGATTTCCTGGATTCCGGGCCCCCCCTGGGTCGGCTGCGTCCTATCTGGGGTATCTTGACGGCCGCGGTCCGCTTGGCCCGAATGCGCGGAGCTGCTTTATCAGGAGTCCCTGCTCCACCTATACAAACAAACGTTCGTCAATCCGACGATCTGGATCCCTGGGTCGACCCGCTAAACTTGGCGGGCTCACTAATTCCCACCTCTGCTCAGGTCGTTGAGCTTCCCCTTCCCTGCATGTTGGTTGCTCCCCAAACATGGCGGCGATAGAGGCACCCCGGTCGGAGGTACCCGTTGACGGAGTACGCATTTTCGCAAGCAGCGCTAGGGCGTCATCGAGCTCGAGGGTGGGTGGTGGGGCGACCGGAGGGGGTCCATCGTGTATTGTCGATATGTGCCGACTCAGGTCAGACTCATATATAGATCTGTACCCGCATCCGAGGTGGGTACACGGATGACGTACTCCAAAGAGACTTTGTGTCCGATTGTAGTGATTCAGATAAGTCACTCTGGTCCCGAATGTTCCGGTCAGCTCGTGACAGAGCGGACAGAACATCAGTCTGACGGCCCCCGTCATCACCTGCTCGCATTTTATCCATTAAAGTTCTTCTGACGCGAATTTTCCCCTTTCTTCCTGAGCTGTTATCTCTAAAAGATATAAGCGGGATCGTAAGCTCCGGGTAGCTCTGCAGGGCAACTATTTGTGTCTATAGGTACCTGTAACAACCGCGCTGATTGCGTCGTCAATGCTGGGGGGAGGAGGACCACCTAATCCTCTCCTCATTGCGACGAGCTGGACGGCGCATTCCTCTCTGAACCTTCGCGCCGTAACCACATGGCTCATTTCGACTCGGACTTGGCTGTGGGTTGGGACGTCCGGAGTTAGTACGTCTTCCAAGTCCGGACGACGTGCTCCCGCTAGACCGTCGGCTCTCTCGTCCGTAGAAGGTTCCGGCAGCTCCGGACCCAGAAAATGGTTCCGGGGCTGATCATCTGTGGATGATCGCGGGGGAGAGCTCGGGCCCGACCCATCAGAGGATCTGGACACCTCGGAACGATCCCCGACTCCTAGGTTAGCCCCCGACTGTAATGACGAGCGTTAAACATGAACCCACATCCAGATTTAAGGACTGCCCGATTAAAATTGGGTCATATATCTCAAGTCTCACTACCTGGAGGTCAACACTAGTCCTACTGTGTTTCAAAGATTCCCGGAGCTTCTCGGACTTCTGGTCAAAATATTTACGGAGGCAGCTTAACGTTTTATCTTGTCTTCCCTTAGATAAACAGAGCATAGCGTCGATTACCCGCAACCTTGCTGAAATTAAATTACAATATATGTCATACTCGATGTGTGGTCGGTTTGCGAGGGGCTGTCGCCCTGTGGACGGGTGGGGACCGCGATGAGAACATGACCTCACCGGAGGTCGCGGAACGACGTCGTACAGCAGTCTTGGGGACCTAAGATGCATACGTTACACCAATGAACAACAATGAACGTTACACCAAACTTTTATGTCGAAACCCTGTGGAACACCCATTAACAGCAGATGTGTCACAATGTCGGACTATTACCTTAAGAAGAGGTGCTCCGGGAATTGTCGCACTGGCTGCCGAGCGGTCACCCGCGTCCGGACCCGACGAAGTGAGTCCAACATCCTGCATGGGGGAAGTCACCTGTGTAATGTAATCCGACAGAAACTTAATCATGGTTAACGAAATTTATGACTAATGTTCGGCCGGACTCTCGGAGGACAATGCACTGCTGACTGACAAAACCTTAAGCTTATATCTGTGTGCCTGATCCCAAAATTAATTAGTCGCTGGCCATGCATCTCAGAGCCCTGACCAACCGGTTAAATAGTCTAAAAAGGGTTATTTGTGATACAGAAATAGACTATAGCCTGTAGAAAATCGAGGAAGGGAAGGCGTACCCTTGCTCGGCCTAACGCAACTCAGTCATAAAGCCCACGGACAAATGCACCTATTGTCCTCCCTGTTGGCAACACAGTGTGAAATTTATGCTAATATGTCCCTGGGCCCTGTAGCACCTGGTCATCGTATTCAATCGTAACCTGCCACCATAATGCAATCCAGTTCTTACTCTGGGCTTAGACATTCCACGCTGGGGTCGGCTGGACCCCGAATTGTCCACCCCTACGTACTCACATCCTACGAGGCTCTGCCTCTCAGCAACTTGCACTTAGAATACATTTGACACAACGTCTCACCTCAACGGTCTCCTCGGTGTAGCTTCCTACATCATCCATCGGGCTGTTTATAGTCTCCGGAGAAGAGGGGCCCGACACCATCACGGGACTTGTCTGCCCTCCTCGCTGAACATGGGTCAAACTGAACTTGAATCCTGGATCCATCCTATAAAATGTGCACACCGGGCTTACCTGTAGAGCCTGTGTCATCCCTGCCTCCATTAGAGTCACACCACGATTTGTGAGGGCCGAGGTCTCCATCCCGGGGTCTAATGAGTGCCAGACTCGGGAAACTGAACATGGCATGACCTTCTGACGTCGTGCCACTAAAATTAACGTATTCATGGGTAAATAAGCAGCGCCCAGATCCTGCCGCCGCCCTTAAGTTACCATAAAACAGGATACCATTACATACTTTGGTACTTGTTCTTCGTCAGGACCTCCAGGTCGACGACGACTCCTTCCTCGGTTTTGTTGACTATTTTTGCCGGCACAAGGCAGGTCCGATCGGACATGGTGTCGTCAAACCCCGTCACCGTGACGAAACATTTCTCAGCCGGACGTTTTCCACGCATCGGGATCGCTTAAGGTCACTAGGCTATCGAGCAAAATTCAAGTTGACCCGAGCCTGATCAAAATTTCTTGTGCACACGGACACAAGGCTAATAGTCAAGTCTAGGCGGCTGAGACACACCGGGGCATCCTAAAATAGCTTGCAATA